GAGAATCCCTTGTATGGGTAGAATGAATAGACGGGCTAGAATCGCCTTTAATTATATAGTATGATTCTTCGTTTTGAATCATTTTAGCCGGAAATCTGTTTAAAACAGTGAAAATGCAATTGTTGGGTTGTTCCCAAGTATAAGCAAAAGCGTCTAAGGATGTTGTTTCACATCCATTTGCAGACACTGGACAGGGCAAAGGAATGTTTTGTCAATTATTGACTGTTCCATCTTTGAGGTTAACAGTCAGAGTTACATTTTGCATGTAAGTTTCAAAAGTGTCCAATTTAATCCAAGAACGGCCATCACATTCGTTATGATGTTTGCCGTCAACTTTGCCAGCATGGGCATTAGTTACTGTTTTAACATTAAATTTGAAAGGAATATTTCCAATACTAGCATAGCCTAGGTTATGATAGTCTCTGTCGGCGGCCGATTTACATTGATCGGCAGATAAATGGAGATCAGTAGTGATCATATTTTGTCGAGCGTCGATACCACTCGAATCAAAAGAATCGCAGAGCCAACGCATTGATTGGTGTTTGATTCGACACATTGTCGCATTTACTTTTGTGCGATAATGTCTCTGATATAGAGTAACATAAGCATGGGTTACTTTAATATTTTCTGGTTGGACTTTGCAAGGTGCTACTTTATTTAGAGAGAACATTTTGTTAGAAGTCATTAGTTGGCAATCATAATGAGCAACCCAAAAATTATTTGCAGTATTTGCATATAATTGTTCTTTCGGATCAAATGCTGAGGTTTGATTCGAAAGTATTATTAGAGTTAAAAGACCTAATATTTTTTGGTGGTGAATGATAGCAAAAGAATTTTTAAAAGTACTCACTTTAAGCATTTCCTCGAGAGTGGTTAGAACAGGATCTTGGTCCATTAGTTCACCTTCCTCTAGTTCACTATTTGGATTTGTCATTTTGTGGATTTTTTTGATGGGAAATCTGAGTTAGATTTCAATTTTTGTTGAGGAATTTAGCAGATTTATTTTTGGAGAGAGAGAGGAGGTTTTGAATGCAAGATGTGGAATTGAGCGAGAATGAAAACAACTGTATTTAGTTTTTAAAGGCTGTTTTTGCTTTTTTGCAAATCTAAGCTCTGATTGGTCGTTGTTATTCGGCGTCTTTCGGAAGTGACTCTTTTTAAGTCGTAATTCCTTTGCCATTCGTTTTGTAATGTTGTGGTTTTTTCCACTCTGGTTTACTGTCGTGGTTTTTCCACTTAGTTTTGATTTGTTGAGATCTAGCAGTGAAATGATTTTTATTCGTTTATGCTGATGTTAATTTTTAACAACTGCATTGCCCTTCCCTATTGGAGGAGGAAAATGAAAAAAAACATCTCTTCATAAAAGAGGACTAAAAGCAACATCATTGTTTGCTTTCCGTTCAGTTTTATTTATCTGTATTTTATCCTCAAAAATTTTTTTTTCTTCGTCCAAAATGAATTTTATCGATCCTGAAGATAATCTGGTGGACTTCCCGGAGAAGTTTTTGAACTTACGGGATGAGCTAAATTTCAAACATGAAGCCTTGCTGGAGGACAAGGAAGTCGAGAGAAGGGTGGCAATCTACGACGGGCTGGTAGAGAAAGGGGCAAACTTAACGCCCATGGAATTTATGATATTTATGGACCGGAGTTATATCTTTAAGTATCCGGTACTGAATGCCGAGGAATTATTTGAGCTGGGCTCAATTCAGAGTAGGTTCCTCGCCAAGAAACTATGGAGCCCATGGAGTGGAGTCAATGTGGTTTCACAAGAAACAATGGACTTTTTGTCCTTATTCTTTGGAGAGGATGTAGGTTTGTTTTACAATACACCCAATTTTAAAAAATATATTTAAAAAATTTTTTTTATTCAAGTGGCATGGCAACAGAGAAATTGTATTGAAATTTGTTTTAGTTTCAAGAAGAATTCTTCAGAAAGCCAGCAATAGAAGAAGAATTTAGGAGAAAGATAGAGCTGGATATCATGTTAGAAGAAATCTATCAAACTTGGTGGCGGCCTTATTCAGCGCTGCAGTTTGCAGTGAGGAGCCTGAGTAGGGCCGCTGAAAACTCTCTGGAAAAGATGGCGGCTGTTAAACTAGTCAAATCTTACACGGATATAAAGTCTAATCTTTATAAAAGTTATTTTTAAATCTATTTATAAATATGTTTGTTTTTGGTGTTTTGTGGTTGTATTACAAACAAAATATTTATAAAAGAGAAAAGAAAAGGCCAATAAAAAAAGAATGTTAAAAAAAATATTAGTTTTGGCCAAAAAAATAGTTGGAGGAGGAAAATGAACTTACGGGATATTTAATATTTCTTTTAATATTTCTTTTTAAATTTGCCAATTAAACTGGATGGAATTGTAGTTCTATAAAAGTTTGTAGGACGATTTGTCCGTTTAGGTCTTTTAGATTCGAGAATGTCATTAAAAATGTCATTAAAGACAAGTTGGGATGGAATATTGGGGTATCAGCCATATTATATTTAGCTTAAAATAAAAAAAGAAAGATAGAAAAGTTTATAAATTTATTTAGAAAACTTAAATTTCCGATTTGGAAATTTATTACTTCTCTTTATTTGTAAGAAAAATTTCAACAATTCTCCTGTTTGAGAATTGGAATCTTTGCTTTTTATCTCTTTTTGAGACTTAAGCAATTTTTGCGAATTTTTAGAAGGTAAGCCTCACTGGTCGCACCAATTTATTACGCTAGCAATACTATTTACGTCGGACAAAACGCTTGCTAGGAATAAAGGGTCCTTTCTACTTTCTATCTTAGAAGGTAAATCTAAAATTCGCTGAGAAATATTTTATTAGAAAAGAAGTTAGTATGAATTTACAGCAAGTTGCCTTTTGACTCAATATCTATTTTTACGGTTAGATTAGAGATATTTTTACTGAGAGTAGATATTATTTTAGAGATTGGTTGGGGTGGTAGAAGAGAGTGGTGTTGGTATTAGAAGAGATATTGTTGGGATATTAGAGAGGGAGGTTGTGGTGTTAGAAGAGATATTGTTGGGAATGAATTCCCGTAGTTTTGAGCTTCTAATTATACTCAGATGGGGAAATCACACCACTTTTCGTATCAAATGAGAAGTTACTTCTTAACTTCGTATTCTCTATTCGTACATTCGTATTTTACGAGAAGAAGGTTTCGTATGCTCGTATTTTACGAGAGGAATCGTTAATATTCGCATTGAACGAGAATAGTCGTTTCAATTCTCAATGCTTAAAACGTTATACGAATTATTCCAAAAGCATTTCCCTTCCTTTTGCAAGGGAATAAAAACATATTTCTTTTGTGGTGGCGGCGGCGTCACATTTTGTGAACGCAATAAAATATTTCATGTTTCTGTTTCCATTTGAAATCAGAACAGAGCTAGGGCAGAGAGCAACTTAATCCGTAAAATTATGCTGAGAACTTTCTTTGAGTCTTTTATCTAAATTTATTAGGTCAGCGTGTATAATAACTATTAAAAAAAGAAACAAGGAAAAATAAATCAACTTGGATTGGGAAAAAACTTAAATTCCACGAACAAAAAGTTTGGTGTTTTGACAGTGACTGAATGCCACTGCAAAATTTTGTTTAAAAAGCTGTCTAAAAAATTTGAAGCGTGTTTTTCACAGTATTGCAAAAAGAAACACTAAGGTCTTGAAGCAACAGTGTTAGGCAAAGAATTGATGTACTTTTGAGTATTGAGCAAATATTTGAAAAAAAAAATCCATTTTTAAGACACTTTTTCGACAATTTTTTTTTACCTTTTGGGTTCGCTTCGTTGGAAATTGTACTCAAATTTGAACTAGAAGAACAATTTTCATATTTTGACCCTATATTTGCGCTTTTTTGATACAAAGATCATAATGGAACCTTTGGTAACATGATAACTTGTGACAGAGAGGCGAAACTCAGCTTCGCATCACTTGCGTCCTCCTCAACCTCAAAACACACAGGTACACACAATTTTTTTCGCTGGTCGACAGACGCAATACCAGGCCATTAAGCCGATATAAAATAGGCCGAAACTAATTAAGGCGAACAAAAAACGAAAAACAAAAACGCCGAAAAAAACTGTCATTAGAAACTTGAACGATAATTTTTATTAAGATTTTAGAAAAAAAGGCGATCCAGATGTAATCATAAAGACTACGCCTCACTTGAAATGAATCAAAATTATATTAAATTACATAATATTAACCGAAATCATTTGGAAAAAAAACTAAGAAAAGAAGAAAATAAACAATGCAAGAAATTACAAACAGAAGTAAATCAAAACACTACGCGAAACTACAATGTAAAAATAGCATACAAGAAAAACCAATTCTACGATGTTGCAAATAGTCCGACTAAACATAAGCCAACAAATAAAAAGACGAAAATTTTTTATAAACGGAATATTTTCTGTTTAAAACAACAGTTCCCCGTCAAATTCGAACCCAGAACCTTTGCCGTACAGGGCAATTTTGTTACCTACAGGCTAAAAGGGTCTAGAAACGCTAAGAATTTGAAGTGGCCCGAGAACGCTCAGAAGGTACCTCTAAAGATGAGTTCAGAAGTAACACTAGAGATGAGTCCTGTGGACAAAGTTGTTTACGGAAAAAAAAAGTCTCGTACCCGATTGCAAAACGCTTGCTATCGCAAAGGTAAATAGCTTGCGCTGCAGAAAAAGCAGTTTCAATAGTGCTCGCCGACAGCCTCGCGTTTAAAGATTTAGTCCGCAGAAAACTGGAAGCGGTAAAAAAAACTTCAGCTGCCAGTGTTACAATTGGTTGTTTTGAACTGTTTAGAAGGAATTTGGAGTGATCTTCAACATCTTCAACATGCCGCCAATTACGTTGTTTTTTTGAAGATAAACGCCATCTTCATGACAACAAAAATTAAAGGTGGTCTCAACGTTGAAAATGTTCACTTGCCATTCAAGCTTCATTTTTAACATTTCAAACTCGCCTAGCAACAATTACGACAGCAGGACGCATAAGTTCTCTAAGAGCAACTTACCATCAATTACGGAAAGCATGGTAATTATCCCGATCAGAAAAAGTTCCATTTTCAAAATTTTCCAAAGGTAATGAAAAACTGAGTGCGACAAAGCAATTAAAAATTATGGTCAGAAAAGTTAGAGCACATTTAAATTAAGTAAAAAGTTGAGCTGTTCAGGTGAAAATTTAACAAATGAAGGTGTTGGAGACTTTCAGTAATTAATTGAAGTATCTCAAAATAAATTTTCAGCGGTTCAGGTGATTCTCCTCAGTTCAAATAGCTGCAGCATTTCAGCTCAATGACTTTTCTACCGCTGTTTGTTTGAGTCCACCCAACACTTGACCACTTGAAAGTATCTTGACCTCTTAAGCCAAATCAAATTATCATTTTCAAACTTAACCACGAAAAATTATAATTAATTACCGAGGCATTTTAAAAAGACTTAAAACTATAAATGGACTGTTGTCAAAGCTGACTACTGAAATCCAATGGATAGCAGAAAAAAAAAGCAAAGATTTCTCAAATACGCTATGCCATAATACTTTTGGTATTAATTTTATGTAACGAAGCAATGAACACGCAACACTGTTGAAAACTCTCTAGTCGAATAATTGAATTAAAAAATAAGTTGGAATTATTTGAAAATAAGACAAATTGATTTTTATTTAAAACGATGTCAACTACCAAAATTCAAAACTAGTATGCTTCAATTTAGCCCTAGGTTCCAAATATTTTCAGCATTAGCAAGACTAACAAAGCAAATTTCATCACAATAGAGCGGATACAACAAACACTCAAAATTGTAGAAATCAAAAAGGTGAAAATCTGAAATACGTCAATTTCGTGGTAAGTTTTGACATTGCGATTAAGATCACTGGAATTTTTTTATTTGGCTCCTTTAACATCAGACATCAACTTGAAACAAATTATTGTAGCCGCGGTTTTGAGGGTAAATCAACTGGAGTATTGCCGCATAATTTAGGTTGATTGTTCGTTAATTTCCGAAGTCAGCGGCAAATCAGAGAAACTCCTCAAGTTCAAAGATGAACAAACACTGAATCTCATTTTTCTTGTACGAAACTTCATATAGTTTCTATTCTCTTCCGGCCAATTTGCTGATCAAATTCTCGCACAACTCGTTCATTTCCTTATTGTCTTTCACCTGAAAGAGAAAGCAGAGTGTGAAATGGAACATTTTAAACACAAAGATATGTAAAAAATGTAAAATATCTAAAAGGCAGTTAGAAAAGGGTCAAGTAAACCGAAATAAAAATGATTGACCTTTTTGAACATTTTTGCAACTCTTAAATTTCCGAAAAACTCGAATCCAGTTGAAGCTCTTTGAATGTCAAAAGTCTGGTTGAATAAGTTATTCTTTTATTCGCTTGATATTCTGAAAACTAAAGTTGATTTTTGAAAATCATGTTATGTCGCGCCATTTTCACATTTGTTATTGGAGGGCGTAATTTGCCTTTCAAACAGAAAATTAAAAAACTGAGCTTAATCAGAAATCCACAGTCCAACAGCAAGAAATCAAAATTGAGCGTAAGCCTCAAAATTATCACTTATTTTAAGACCCAAATAAGTGATAAATCACTTCGTTCCTTAAAACTTTTACAACAAAATTTTACAGAGGCGAAGTTGCACTTCGCATACACAAGCAAAAACGTGACAGATAACGCTACTGGGAAAAACTGAATGAGTAGAACTTTGAGTCTACAAAAATTCTTAAGTGACGCACGCCAATTATGAATCTACATAATTGTTAAGTGACACAAGCCAATTATGACGCTTTAGCAGTACCAGTCAATTTGAAAAAAAATTACCAACTAAAATGCCTCTATCTAACGTATTTTAACTGGTGTGCGAAAAAGTTCACTAAAACCAAACATCCGACCCTGTCCATGTTCGAACCCTCTTCTTTTGTTGAGTGTCTCCTTTCCTACCTCTACGCTACAGATCCATGATACCTTGAAGCTAAAATGCTTTCTGTAATAAGATAGTCAGTGTTAATATCCTTAGCATTGGCTGTACTTAATAGCTGATTATAGATCAAAATGAACACTTTCAAAATGAACACATTTAGTCGCAACAATATTTGCGTCTTAGGTTGGAAAAAAAGATAGTTCATACTATAAAACAAACTTTGCTTGTGTGAACATGGAACACAGAAATTAGACTGAAAAACTTGAATGCAGCTTGAGTTAGACTGAAGAGTTTGAATGGGGAAAAGAAACCAAATTCAAATACAATTGACATTTCTGCCAAAATTCCAGTTTATCGATAAATTATAACATAGCCAATCGAAGATTGAAAAAGAGTAATGAACGCAAGTAAACATAAAAAACAAACTTTGTTGCAAAAATTTCACTTTCGAATTTCAAAGAAAAAAATACATGCCTTTACGCTCTTTGAAACATTAACCCAACTTGAGAAAACTGGATCAACAGGTGAAGTTTTTATTCCGCTGGAAATCTATAAATTAAATTCCAGTTTCAGCAGATAAATTTCCATTGAATTCAAAAATAGCAATATACTTAAGTTCATTCATAAATGCATCAACATGTATGAATGCACATCTGTAGTTATTATAGACTTTTATGAACATTTTAAGACATTTTCCTGAAAAAAAAAGTCAGCAAAATTGAAATTTTTTCTTTTTTGATTAAAACTAAGCAAAAACTTTTGCAAACTACAATTATAGAGCTATTTTTCCAGTCATTTCAACGTCATTACCAGTCATTTTGTTGTTAGACCGCCTGTTAGAAGAAAAGTTAATTTTAAAAGAAACCAAAGCCGGTAATTTAAAAACCGACGGCAACCAGAAACTGACCTTTTTGGCATAAACTGTCATTTTTTGTTTACTTATGACGAAATGACACTATTACAAAATAATAATTATTATTATAAAAATGATTATAAAGTATTTAATCAAAATAGGGTGATTTATCTTAGAAATACATAAACTATACAGCTGTGACTAGTAATTACCTGATTTGCGTTACGCAAAGCTCAAACCGAAAGTTATATTAGTACATAAACAGTTTTTACACACGATAACAGCTCACTTTCGTCTAAACTCTCATATTTGTAGTTTTGCGAATCGTCTAAATTCCGTTTTATTAACATCGTCAAATTTGTTTTTCGTCTAATTTCCTAGGCCCATCGAACATCTTTTCATGAAAACAACTGGTCGAACAAAGAAAAATTTGTTCCACACAGTAAACAAAAAAAAACAACTTGAAATGAATACAAGGCAAGCAGAAAACATAATAAAAATTAGAAAAAATTGTTTGCGGAAAAAAGCCTTGTTCCGGATTACAGACACTTGCTTTGGCAAGTGTAAATAGCTCTGAAAAATCAGCAGAGAACAAAAGTAAGCCTCGATTGAAAACTTTGCTCATTGCATCAAATATCTGCACAAAACCATCTACAGAATTGACTATGACTCAAAGACAGGCACAGTGAATGGAATGTACGTCAAGCAAGCGGATAAAGCGTATGTTGCTTGAACTTACAAAAGAGCAACATACAGAGGGCAGACACTCAACAGAGAAGTGTGAAGGACTAACATTGAAAAAAAATTCTTTTATAAAAATGTGCAAAAAAGGTATAAAGTGTTTATAAGGGGTTTGCAAAACGCATTAATCCCTTCAAAATAGGGCCCATCACGAATCAATATTGCAATGACAGGGTTCAATGGAGCTAGAGCATACCCTACAGAGAGTTGGAAAAGATTCAATGAACGCAAAAAAAATTGACTTGCTTTTTGAAAAAACTTAAAATTTGAGTTTCAAAAACAATATATTATTCAGAGGCGAGGCTGCGCTTCGCAAACACCAGCGAGAAAACGCAGCTCTAGAAAATAAAATACAGAAACGGTTAAAATAAGCCTCAAAAATTAAGACTTTTGCAGTGGCGAATTGGATCCTACGACAAGAAGATTTAGAGTCCCCTGTCCTCGCATCTGCGCCACTGCCTCATGACATTTTACTAACACTAGCCACAAACAAAGCAGCTACATATGCTAATAAATTTTTAAGGCGATAAAGCACAAGTGGCACCAAATACAAATAGACACTATTTTAAATGTAAGAAATTGGAATAAAAACTTAAGGCGTCCACATTAACTTTGCATGTAATAAAATGGAAAGCATCATGCCAAATTAAGATAAATTATACATTTCAAAAAAAATTCCAGATACATTGAGCAGAAAAATTTCGGAAATGGATTTTTTTTGTTCAACTGTTGTGTGAAACGAACAGCTTTTTTGGTTCATTTAATGCAACAAAACAGCATCAACTGTTTTTAGCTGATTACGTAAAGCATCCCAAAGGTGCCCAATAATTAGCACCAATATTTGCGAATTAGGCTGGAAAAAAATGGTCGTACTATTACACTACGCTCGCTGAAGCGCGTTGTGCAATAAGCTCATGGGCGTGAACAATTTCAGTTATTTTCACCCAGACTTTGGGTTCTAAAACAGTTGAATCACCCTTTTCAGTTGCACTTGGCTGTAAGAGCACGTTTTCGTCAATTGTCTCGGCCTATCAGCCTCGAATTGTTTCTAGCGTGCTCTTCAACTCAGTGCAACTTGAAAGAATGTTCGTACGATTACAAAGACAACTGGTACTGTTCAAGTAAATTTCAAACAATATACACACATGAATATAACACTAATGTCATATTTTCACAGATCACGGATTTCTGTACTGAAAAAGCCTATCCTTAAAATTGCATATGTAGTTGATAAACAACAGCTATATATTGCATCGAGAAATTTTGTGGCACAAATCGAGACTCGAAGTGTCGAGATGTGATCAAATTTCGAGACGCAGTATACGCTGTTGCGTATCTGGTATAAAACACGTTTGAAAAAGGCTCACAGCCGAAAAAGTTTTTCGCCATCTCGTAGTTTTTACTTTCTATTTTGTTTATTTGAGTGTTCAAATAAAGCACGGGAATAAATTGCATACTAGCGTTTTATTTTTCAAATACAGCATGGAAACATTTTGATCACGTGTCTTATATGTACCAAAAGGGCACAAACGTTTTACTCACTGAGTATTTCGTGTCCTATACCTCAGTTTAGATTAATCATTTTTCGGTACCTTCACCGCTAAACTAAATTAATGAGTAACGTCGTTTCACAGCTAAACTAAATTAACTGTAACTTCGGTTGCAAACCTTTCGGTTGCAAGTGGTAATACCGGTAGCAAACTGGAATTTTTTGCTCGTGTTATCGTTTCGATCCGTTGATGAAAAACAAAAACAACTTCTTGAACCTTCATATCCAACTATCGTTGTCTTCACAAAAAAGGTTAAGTGAATTGTTCTTTCAACCTTCTGAAATCTGTTCAACAAAACTCATTTTGCCTTTAGTGAAAATTTGAAATGAATCTATTAGAGTAAGGATAAAAAAATCAAACGGACCTTCTGGTCGTATGAGAGTTGTAGGGCATCATTGGCCATTTTGAGTCTCTTTAACTCCATCTCGAGCTGTGTGATGGATCCCTTCAGCGCTCTCTCCTTCTCCTGTGCCTGCTCCTCCGCCCTGAACAGACAGTAATTATTTCGACTACAGCAAAATTGGTCTGAATACTTTCGGTCTTCAGACTAAATTAAACATAAGACCGATCGACCTCTGAGCTGACCTCCCAGTTCATTTTACATTTTCAACTTGATAAAAAATTTTCTTTCTCTTTCTTGCAGTTTTCAATCTAATTCAGTGCAACATTATTAAACATTGCCAATCGAAGATTGAAAAAGAGTAAGGAACGCAAGTAAACATTAAAACAACACTGACTTTCTTGAATCAACATAGCCAACTAACAGTTCGAAAAAAGCAAGGAACGCAAGGAAACTTAAAAAAATTGACATGTTTTTTCAAGAGACTTCAACTTTTGAATTTCGAAAGAAAATAGATGGCCTTAAAGCTCTTTGAATTTGTAGAACAATTTATGATGGAAACTTTTTTGCTGAATTTAACCCAATTTAAGAAAACCGGATCAATACGTTAAATTTTTATTTCGCTGGGAAATCTGATATTTAATTTCTATTTTCGAAGTTGAACACGTTTTTCGGGACCTCTACACTTTTGCTGTTCGATAGTTGAGTTGCCTTCCTTTAAACAATGGAAATGCACTGAACTCAAAAAGAAATCACAAGTCAAACTGCGAAAAGTCAGAACTGAGCGTGAACAAATTTTCTGAAAAAAAAACAAAAAAAATCAACAAGACCTATATAAGAGTCCTCACTACGTTCATTACTCTTAAACATTAAAATAGAAAACATGGATCGTTTGTCCTTATTTTTGAATTTCCTTATTCTGTGCTACTCAAACTCATTACTTTTGAGTTTTCTGAGCTACGTGGAGAGCAACCAGCTATCCTTGTTGTGTCATAAAACCATATGAAAATGATTGGGTAACGATTAACATTGATGCTACTCTTGTCCCAGAATTTTTACATAAGTACCATGCTCAGAATATGAAAACCACAGAAAAAATTGAAAAATAAATTTGCAAAAAACCTACATCTAGTAGAATGATTCACCTCGTGTTTAAATGTTTCTCTCGAATTCTAAAACCCTATTCCAACCGAAAAAGACCTCAATTCAACATCCAATTCAATTGAACTAGCGTGTAACGCACCTCCGGTGCTTCGAATTCTTAACATCATGAAAAACCACATATGCTGGAAACAAGATCTGCATCCTTTGAGTGTACTCTGACAGCACCCAATTACAAGGTTCGTAATTACAAATTTTTTTACACATGGTTTTTTTTACACATTTTGAGAAACCATAAAATTTTGTGAAGTTTCATATAAATTCTTTGAAAAAATTTAAAATGAACTAAGAAACGTCACAGCTCTGAAACTAAAATCAATTGAGCACTCGCATTTGGACGCAAGATTTGCAACTCATGAGAGTAATCTTACAGCACCCATTTTGAGAAAAATTTTGAGAAACTTCAAACTTAAGTTTTCTAAAAAAGATAATTTTTTGAAAACCAGAAAAAAACGTAACATCTCAAAAACTAACAAGATCTAAGCGCCTTATTTGAAGGCAATATTTGACAGTACTCACTCTGACAGCACATAACTACAGGGTTGGGAAATTCAAATTGTGAAGAAAGTTTAAATTTAAGTTTTCGGAAATTTTTTTTGGAAAAATCACAAAAAAAACGTCATATCTGGAAAACTATCAAGGTTTGAGCACTCACATTTGGAGGCCATTTGGATTTGCCAGACTCTCACTACAAAGATGGGAACTTCAAATTTTGTGAAATTTTCTTATCTAAGTTCTCTGAAAAATTTTGAAAAAAAAACCTAAAAAAAAACGTTTTACCCAAAAACTTCAAGGATTTGGGCAGTCATATTCTCAGGCAATATTCGCAACCGCTAAGAGTACCCTAACAATTTCCAACAACAGGATTGAGAACTTAAAAGTTTTGAAAAAATCATAAAAAACGTCATATCTCAAAAACTACACGGATTTGAGAATGGAGATTTGGAGGCAAGACTCGCAAACCCACAGGCAAGACTCGCAAACTTATATTTGCTTAAAATTGTCAAAAACCTCGAAAATGGCCCAATCTCGTAAATTAAAAGGATGGATTTGTTGATTCATTTATGGCAGAATCGCAAAACCTGGGAAAACACTGAATTGAAAATGGAAGATCGAAAAATAAATTAACCATTGCAATATACGATATAGCTTAGACGTGCAAAAATGTTTTGTTAAACATGCAAAAAATACGTTGAAAAAGCTTACACATGGCAAGATTATGATACCCGCATATAATATATAATAGATTCATGAGTATCCATAGTAGGTACACAGAGCAAGTTATATGACCACTTGGAATTGCACTTTGATAAGAAAAAGTCAATAATGATGGCTTACTCGGTAAATCTCTCCTCAGAAAACCTCTTGAGAGTCTCGTACATTTTCTCCTCTTCTGCGATTTTCTGATGCGCCTTCTGAAGTTCTTGTTTTAGGATCACTTCGTTCTAAAGAAACACATGACAACGTGGACCAAAAAAAACTAAGAAAACTCTAGGAATAGAAAAGTTTTTTTTTTCTTAATTTTTTTGGTGATGTTAAAGCTGATTTTAAGCATGTATTTCAGCTTGAATTATTTCGCAAATACTGAACTTTTAGGGTTTGTTTGAACTGCTTCAATTGGCTCAAGTTATACTCCTCTGTATTTTTCGAGAAAACTTTACCAGCTGAAAGACCCAATTTATTCCTGTTACAAAAATCAAACAATGCTTGCTTGTGATTTAAAAGATAGCCAACAGACTATTGAAACGCAAGTGAACAGAAAAAAAATATTGATTTGCTGAAGTTGCACGAAAAAGACGGCCTTAAAGCTCTTTGAATTTTTTGAACAATTTATGATAAAAAAAATTTTGATGAAAATAACTCAATTTGAGAAAACTGGATCAATAGGTATTTTTTTAAAATTTCGCTGGGCAATCTGACAAATAAGTTCCATTTTCGAAATTAAAGTTGATCACGTTTTTCGTGACCTTTACAGTTATGCTGTTCGATACTGGAATTGCCTTCCTTTTTCCTTTTAACAAAGCAAATGAACTAAATTTAAAAAGAAAGGAAAAGTTAAACAGCAAAAAAAGTAAATTGGAACCTGAAAAATTTTTTCTGAAAAAAGTCATTGCGACCGCGGAGGGTTCTCATGCTTGAAGGACCGAATGCTTGAAAAATTTCAACCAATCAAAACCGCTAAGCGTTTCTATTGGCTAAATGCCTTTCTCACAAAATCATAGTCAATTTTAACAGAAAATGTATTAATTAATTCAGTGGAAAATAATCAAAAATATTACAAATTGCGGGTTACAACCGCAATACTTTTCAGTTAATCATCAAGACTAGGCGGGCCAAAATCATAAGAATTTTTCAGTCTTCAAAACTCATCTGCTTATTATCAAATCGGTCAATATTAACACTAATGGCCTTGATTTATTTTCTTACTTTGAGATTTTCGCGATTTACTTTGAGATTTTGAATACTCAATTCTTATTGGCTGAAAGTAAGCTAAAATTAAATTCAAGCATTCGGTCCTTCAAGCATGAGGGACGCCACCATTGCGACCGACCTTTATAAAAGTCTTAAAAATATCAAGAAACAAAGAATATTCATTGCTTACGTTTTTGTATTGTCCGATAGCGTCTCTAGCTTTGGTGTATCGCTTTAACGCCTGGTCGAAAGACTGCTCCAGTGATTGTAGATCATTTTGGTACTGAAACAAAATTTGAACGTTGAAACACTCCTCAAGAACATTGTTTTCTCATCTTGTAGAATTGATGAAGCAATCAAATTATAAAACTTTTTCTGAAACTTATTAATTTTTGCGCGGATTTCCGAAGGTAAGTGTTAGACGTCTCTAATCCGAAGTTAACTGGTTTTATCACCCTTTGGTACTGATTAGAAGTCTATCGGCCAGTTGAAGTCCATCGGTCAATTGAACAGGGAGCAAACAAAAGTAGCAAAAGTTTTCTGAAGAAATATTCTACGAAAACTTCAAAACTGAGACAATTTTCAAATTGACTTAGACGGCCGAACAAAACTTATGACATACCTGACTTAAATGCCAGAAGAGTTCACAAAAACAAATGGATCTCCTTAAAAACCCGCCAAGGAATTGTCCGAATAAATCAGTTCAAAGAATTCTTCATCAAGCCTTGACCTAATCCAGTCACAATAAACTCTTTCCTAGTCTGCCTGGAAAAACTATTTTTACACAACAGAAGTAGTAATTATTGGAATATAACAGAAAAAGAGAAGAGGCGCAAAAACTCCCCTTTATCATCACTTCAAACTTTAAAGCAATATCGTATCTTTCATGACTTTTGCCATAACCTGTTAAAGGACCTTAGCCATTAGGGGGGCCAATTCCCTTATTTTGAAGATGATTGAACACTAGACAGAAGTGCAAATTGACACTTTCAAGTTTCAAACAGGAACATACAACTTCACAATTGAATATTCAATTTCACCAAACGTGAAGAATGAAAGCAAGAAGTATAAATGGAATCCCATCACTAATCAAGCCATTATCAACTCAAAGTAAAGTCAAATTACAGATTTAATCGCCTTTTAAAAAAGCTTCCCGATCGCATCATGTCCTTCGAAGCCAACAAAACCACTGAGGTTCAACAGCATGAGCAGAGATACTCAACCAGTGCCGGTGGCTCCATCGTGATGCTCCCGGAGGCAACTCTGAGCGGGACTAGTAGCGAGGTGGCTCCGGGGGTATTTTACAGACACCAGAGTGCCTACAAGACCGAGAAGGCAGACGCACTCGGCAGGAGCTCCAGGGTCGAGGCAGTAAGTAGACAACCCCCTCTGCCCTTCATCACACACCCCACCCCTCATTAACTCTTAATTAACCATGTATAACTAGATAGTAACCATGTACTCTTATTTAATGTTCCATTTAGACCCGATTCGAAAAGAGGGATGCAGCCGGCCGACAGCTCGAGACTGTAAGTTTCCAGACAAAATAATCGTATCAATATTTATTGATTTTTAGGAAAAAAATTGCGAACAACTCTAAATTATTTTCAGACTCACAGGGAGTTCATCGCGCCTGGAAGCGGTTGTTGAGCCGATTGAGTTTAGAAAGAAAAGACGCAAACAGAGATTCTATCAAGTCATATCACGGACAATGCTTCAATATCTTGCACTTAATAATGCCAATTAGTAATGCACTATTCGAATTTAAACTTCTGCTTCATGTGTTGCGTCTCTTCAAATATCACTATGGCAAAAAAGGAAACCTCCTCAAAACAAACATAGGCAACTAACAGTTGGAAAAGAGTAATGAACGCAAGGAAACTGAAAAAAAAACTACTTGTTTTTTCAAGAGACTTCAACTTTTTCTTCAACTTCAACTTTGTTCTTCAAGAAAAAAATCGATGGCCTTAAAGTTCTTTGAATTTGTAAGACAATTTATGATGGACACTTTTATGTTAAAGTTAACCCAATTTGAGAAAACTGGATCAATAGGTAAAACTTTTATTTCACAGAGAAATCTGATAATTAACTTCCATTTTCGAAATTAGAAGTCGATAACGTTTTTCGTGACCTGCACAATTTTGATGTTCGATAGTGGAGTTTGCCTTCCTTTTAACAATGGAAATGCACTGAACTTAAAAAAAATCACAAATCAAACCGCGAAAAATCAAAATTGAGCGTGAACAAATTCAGATTTTTTCCTGAAAAAAAACAACAAGACCTATATAAGAGTACTCCCTACGTTCATTACTCTTAATAATTTGCCAACAGAACGTACTCATGATTTCAATAAACATTTTTTCGAACGTCAGAAACTATTAAAACACTTTAGCAGCAAACGTTTAAGAGATCATCAAAATTATCTTTTTCAAACATCAATTAAATTCATCATCAGGTTTGAAATAGTTTCAGTGTGAAAAAAAAATCTCTTTTGAAAATAGTCGAATGTGACATTTTGCGTCATTTTCATTTTCATGTTAAATGTACACAAAATTGAGCGTGAACAAATTCAGATTTTTTCCTGAAAAAAAAACAACAAGACCTATATAAGAGTACTCCCTACGTTCATTACTCTTAATAATTTGCCAACAGAACGTACTCATGATTTCAATAAACATTTTTTCGAACGTCAGAAACTATTAAAACACTTTAGCAGCAAACGTTTAAGAGATCATCAAAATTATCTTTTTCAAACATCAATTAAATTCATCATCAGGTTTGAAATAGTTTCAGAGTGAAAAAAAAATCTCTTTTGAAAATAGTCGAATGCGACATTTTGCGTCATTTTCATTTTCATGTTAAATGTACATTTGTTTCGTTGATCAAACAATTAAGGCTACAGAAATTTAACGAGGGAAGCTGAAGTAAAAACAAGACAAATGTAAAATAACTTCTTCATTCATAATCTCCCAAAAAGCATAACTTAAAGCAAAGTTTTGCGCGTCTAAACAAAATAAAATTTTATAGATAGAATCCCATGATACGTTTTTATCTTCAACAATGCCTGCACTATTTTCTCACAGGAACAAACACAAAAACTCCTTGAATTATATATTTGCAAACAAAAAACTTATTTCATAATAGACATGCTACCTATATAAACTCTCAATCTACCTCGAAAACATCATTCACCATCTCAGCTTATCTTACAGCATCGCAAGTGTCATAAAATATCCGAAGCTTATCAGCTTGTTTATTTTGAAATTATTAACCTCATAGAGAATGAGTTTCGAAAACATGGAATGGGGACTTGGTAAAGCACCCGGGTGCAAAACTAAACCAGGATTCCCCAACATGACCATGGAGACTAGTATGGACTGCCCCTGTGAGCCTGTTGGGACTCACAACGACAACAGCGAGGGATACTACTCGCATCAGAGCATGTACAAAACCGTGAAGAGCAAAGGACGGGGAGTCAAACATGTTATTGAAGCCGTGAGTTTGTCAAGTAACAACTTTGTGAACAAATCATCCTTAGATAGAAGCTTTAAAAACGCAAAACTCAAAAATCGCCAATATTTCCAAAAACTGTTGATGAGTTTTTTCAACAACTCGGACATTTTCAAGAATTGTTGATGATTTTATTAAGCAGCTATTCCGAAATTTTGTTTTAGTCTCGATATGAAATGACAGACGGCAGCGGCAAACGTATCGAAAAGGTAAATAATAGAAAAAAAAGATTTCATGGAAAACCCTAAACTCTGAAAATGGACAACACCACCCGAGTATAAGATAAATCAGTTCGTAGATACCCTCTTACAAGACTTAGTTCAGAAACATTTTAGAAATACATCGAAAGTGAGACTGGCACACCTTGGGAAAGGAGGAAGGAAAAGAAAAATGAAACTATCGAATGAGAAAATGACCAACAAAAAACTGCAGTACATTAAACTTGCTATTAAACTTAAAGACTATGACTATTTAATACCTTTGTAACCAATTTAACTCGAACTTAACCTCGATAAATTGTTTACGGTCTTCGATAAGAAAGTAAGGGCATACAGACACTTTTAAAGACGCTTATTTTGATAAATGCAGTTTCTAGACATTTTTGTAAGTTTCTTTAAGTGTCAATGAAATCAAAGAAACCCAAAAAAGTTGAGATTTTTTTGGAAATTTTCAACTTTCGAATTTCGGAAAAACATTCACATGTTGAAGAATATTATATGATTTTTCGGCTGAGAAATCTAAAAAATAAATTCCATTTTAAAAACTTAAAGTTATTCTTAGTTTTTCGCGCCATTAGCAGAATCGTTCTTGAAGGGTAATTAGCCTTCCTTTCATCTAATAAGTTAAAACTGAATTTGAAGAAAAAAAAATCTTTTTCCTGAACAAGAAATACGATTTAATTAAGCGATAACTCACTTCTTTTACTAACAATTGATTATGGCACTCATTGTTTATAAGCTCTTTTGACTTCATTCAGCTTAGATCTCATTCAGCTGAGAGGAACTAATGTTCAAACCCAATCGTCATAAAATAGCTGATCATCATTAGACTGATCGGACAAAAAAAACTTTTGTACTACAACAACATAGACTACGTTAAGCTGGTAAAAAATTTTCAATTGAAAATCAGTGGGAATGCAATTGCATCAAAGCTCGTAGAAATTATGACATTTTTCATAAGATAAAAATTTTGATTATATCAACCAAATTTAAGAAAACCTGATCAATGAACGTTTTTGATTTCAATCAGTTAGCAGCCAAAATAAACAAATTCTAACCAACACACCAAAATGAACAACTTCACAACGTTTAGTACTATCTTTTGCAACGTTTCATTCTCAGAAATTGAGAATTTAATATTTCAATGATTTCAGCTCGAATGATAAAACTTTCTTTTAAAAAAGTTCGAAAAAAAAACTTACTTCTTCATTTTCTTGGCTCAAACGATTGATGTCATTCTGGAGATCTTTCATGGCTTTGTCCTTTATCACACACAACTGAGAAAAGGCATCCTCCAAATCTTGCAATACAACCCTGAAACAATCAGCTCTTCCGTATTTTGATTCAATTACATTGCCAGTTGAGCTTACCTACTTATATTCGCTATTGGACATATTTACATAGCGGATGTTAGATGAAAGCCCAAGAGCTACGTTACAATTAACTGATCATTCACGAAAGGGCTCACCAAAATCTTTCACACAGAGGCTAATCTGCACTTCGCATACACAAGCAAAAAAAGCTGCTCCAAAAATTAAAGGCTATTCAATAATTCCTGGAAAGAAGTCTTGGAACTAGTTAACTTTGAACTGCTGTGGGTGCTCGAAGTCAACAATTTTTCACCACTACACCATCGAGATCTATCACAGTTTACACCCAGAAAATAGGTCCTGAAAATGAAATCAGACCGCACGCCTCGAGTCGCTTGCCTAGATGCAAGCTATTAAATTGCCAAAACTATGCGGCAAAATTGCCACTAAAGGAACACTTTATTTCCGAGTTGGGTTGAAAAAAAAGTTGATGGGTAATACAACACTACAATCGCTAGATTACTTGTGTAATAATGCAGGGAAATTCAAAACTAGGTAGACATTCAAATTATTAAGGAACACTTGGTTATTCAGGTAGTCACTGAAACAACTTACATGGTACCGGCTTCTTCATTGCGTAATTTCGTCAAGTCTTCCTTCATTTGTACGTTCTCGTCACGAAGACATTCGTACTCCTAAAACAAACTAACAGATACTCGATCCTGCTCAACGATGAAAACTGATTTATTCGAGCAGCATACGAAATTACGTAAAAAGGCGCAACATAACACGGAATAGATACCTTGAAAAAGTCTTCTTTAACGTTGGCTGGCAAATCAGATGTTTTTAAAGCAGCAGGAACCTGAAATGATATTAAGATCAGAGATACACGCTGGGTAAATGTTAAAAATTTTTTTGTTAGTTTTCAGTCCGAAACTTTACCCAGTAAATTTTAAATACCTGTCGATTATTAGATGGTGCAATGCTTTTTTCATTCGAATTCAAACTTTCGTTGTCTAAAGCTGGTTTTAGGCCCACATTGATCTCAACAAATTCTGTCGTTTTGTTTAAAGCGTCTGGCGTTTCTGAAACGTCTGTCGTTTTCTCACTTGACTCATTTTTAGATTCCAAATTTGATGTCGAGATGTTCTCTTTGTTTTTGTTTACTAGGGCCCGTTTAGCTTTAGATTTGACTATTGTCCCTTGATTTTGAAAGGACTCTTCGTCTTTAGTAGCTAGCGTCGGGGTCGCAGACGAGGAAACTTTTGCCTTGAGTGATTTCGCGACTTCTAATGACGATGCTGGCGTTTTGTTAACTTGCCTGAAATATCGGAAATCAATAAGAACTTACAAAAAATGAACAGTTTTCAGTGCACCAAATAAGCAATTTTTGTAAAAAAAAAAAAAGAGAAGTTGTTACTTTTTATTTGGAAAAGAGCATTTAATGTTAAAGTAATAGTGTTTAAAATAATTCAAATCGTTAAGATGGCTCAAAACATGCGAACAAACTAAAAGAAACTACTTGAACTGCGAGACAGCGCGATATCAAAAAGCAATAGATTATTCTAATGTTGTTCCTTTTCATTGAGCCAATACCCTGTCAATTGAAACTCATAAGTAGAGTAATAAGCCATTGATATGTACTAAAACAAAAAAGCATATCGATAAGTTAAAAAAATATAATTGAATGAGAAATTTTTGAAAAAAGTCTTTAAAACAACAATCAATTCAATTATACTTAAACACTTTAGCACTTAGGAAATAGAGTTTCATTGCTATCTTCCATTGCCTTGATTTTCACAAAAACATCGAAACCGAGGTTACATTAAAAAAAACTAAGAAAACTTACTGCAGTTAGGTGTTGTGACAAATTGATATTTCAGAGATACGATTACTTCTGCTCAGCAGTTAAACAGGTGATGTACAACAAAAAACTGAATTATTTCTCAGGGAATGAGACGGTTTTCAAATATAATAGAATAACTAAAAACAGATAAGATAGCATACAAAAAGAGCGAAGCTTCAGTTCAGCTGAATGGTAATGTAAAACATTCGATTTAAGCCACGCGCAGTCGAATGGTACAAAAATTGAGGGAAATAGTACACACAACACAAGTAACACACTGCATAAAGAATTAAAGCAAAACCAATGCTTTGAAAAGTAAGCACGAAAACCAAATCTACTTTTGCACAATTTTTACTTGGATTACAATTCGTGTTTAAACTCAATTTGTTTTTAAAGCTAATTTACTAATTCTGTTAAATAAAATGAAACTTTAAACAGTGAATAATTTTGGAATCGCTTGGATAAAAAAGAGGAAATGGAACCATACGTGGGACCTTCCGCGGTTACAAAATCTAAAATTTGCGCTAAAGGTACATTATATCCATTTATACAACCTATTTGATTTTCACACAAAGGCAACCGATCGTGAATAATCGCTCGATCCTAATGAAAAAAAAGTATCGAAAAAAAACGCAGTAACTGGAAGATCCCGATGAAGAAAAATTTGATAAACATGTGTTTCATCTGTTATAAAAAGGTATGGCACTGAAAAATTAAGACAAATTTAGTCGTAATTAAGATTTCAAATAGTTTTTAGTGCAGGAAAAAAAACAGATCTGATTATTTTCCCTTTATCGACTTACTTTTTTCAGTCCAGTAATTTGAACTGTTGTACCGGGTTTAAAACGATTCACTATCGCAATCATAAGTAACTATTATGCAGATCTCTAAAATACATTCTTTTTAGGGCGCTAAACAAGACTTGAACTAAAAACACGACTATCAAAAAATGTTACTTGTATTCATGAGCAAAAATTGCCCAAAATTTAGATCTGACTGACGAAAAATAGTTTGATAATCCAGTTTTGATTTCGTGCATCAATTTTTAATTATAAACAATTTTTCAACCAGGCGAAATTCCGAAACGGTTTTACTTATAACCAAACAGCAACCGGAAGATATAGCTTATGCTAATCGAAACCACCAAGACAAGACACAGAAAATATTGCAAATAGACAGTTCGAAAGGAGTCACTAAAAGCAAGGAAACAGACAAAAATTGACTTGTTTTTTTTAAACCTTCAACTTTCGAACTTCAACACAGAGGTCAAGCTGCGCAACAACTTTTACAATTTTGGTATATGTGGCTCATATGAAACTCATTTTGATGAAAACCTGTGGCGAAACAATTGCCAGCTTTAATTAAGCATTAAAAACACTGAGCGGTAACTATGCAGACAACTTTTGAGTAAATTCCCGTTTTTCCGGTAAAATAATGAAAAGAAGTCGAAATGAGGCTATATATTAAGAGCAAACATAGCCAATCAAAAATTGGAAGGAGTAATGAACGCAAGTAAACATAAACAAAACACTGACTTTGTTGACAAAAATCTAAACTTTCTAATTGCAAAAAAAACTAGATGCCCTTTAGGCTCTTTGAATTTCTAGAACGATTCAAGATTGGCGCTTTTTTGATAACATTAAGCCAACTTGAGAAAACTAGATCAACAAGTGAAGTGTTTATTCCGCTGGAACTCTATAAATTAAATTCCACCTTCGAACTAGAATTTCAATTGAACTCAAAAAGTGCATATATACCTCAGTGCATTTAAAAACTTTTTCCTAAAAAAAAATCAGCAAGACCTTTACAAGAGTCTTCACTGCGCTCATTAATCTTGAAAAATGTAGAGAAACTTATGGATTGTTCATTCAAAAATTCGACGCGACATTTATTTGAATCAATTGCAAATATAAATTGTCAGTTATCATATAAGCATTATGATGAAAACTTGCTTGAAACTAAAACCAATCAAACAGACGAAAAAAAATAACCACAAGAAAACTGCTGCTGAAAAAACTGTCGTCTCTTTCATTTTTCTTGATTAGCCTATAACTTAAGAAATAAAAACGAAAACCTTAATTAAACTATTCTGCTGTAATTTTCAATGCGAAAGAAAAATAACTTAAGCCAAAATTAAAAAAACAATTGACCGAAAAACGGAAGAAACTTTATCATGAAAAAATGCGTATAAACTCAGGACTTCAAAAAACACGATAAGAACATCAAGCCGCTGAAGAACACTCGAGGAAGAAACTTTGTACAACGCTTAATTGAAAAAAAAACTAGTTTGAAGGGAAAATTTTCTTCTGAGAAGTGATTTTAAAATTTCAAAAAAACGTCCAAATTGAATCGATTGAAAAACGAACGGAAACATAGAACAAAACACGGCTATAATGCAAACCCCATAAAAACAAAACAAGTACGCTGCATATTTGTAAATTTACCATTTGAAACTTCTTTCTATGAAGAAACTATTCTGCGAACAATATTATTAACAGGAAAAAATCTAGTTCCCAGTCGCAAAACCCTTTCTTATTGCAAGGGTAATAAGAAATATTATATGGCCTAAACGCTATTTAAATTTCGAGAACAATTTATGATTGACACTTTAAAAATTAAAAAACACAATTTGAAAAATTTTTATTCAACGGAAAGGTCTTTAAAAAATCAACTTTCGAAATTAGAAGTTGATCACATTATTCGTAATGTTTACACTGTTCTATAACTGTTCAATAGTTGAGCTTGCCTTTCTTTTAACAAAAAAAAAAAACTGAAGTTGGAAAAAAATACTAAGCCAAACTGCAAAAAATCAAGTTTTAGTGTGACTTTAGCAAGACTTCTACTGACAAAAAAAAACTTTTAATCATCACGACCTATATCAAAGTCTGAAATATTCTCATTCACTCTTCAAACACCGCGTTCATTGAATGTTAACAAAAATATGAGCAAATAATGAAGATCTCGTTTTATGATTTCGTTCTATCACACATTTTATGTCACGAAGTTATCGTTTCATGAAGTGTGCTTAATGTCAAAATTGTGTTATTACCCAGACAAACACAATAAAAAAAATTCACAAAATTCACTTAACAAGTAAACAAAGCAATTTTGATACAGAGGCAAAGCATCGTTTTGCAAACACTTGCGAGAAAACGACAAAATACAGCTCTTTAAAAAGCTATAATAAAATTAGAAATAAGCCTCGAATTAGTAAAAAATAAATAATCGGAAACCTCTGAGATTCGAACCTGCAACCTAGAGATTAAGAGACTCACAGACTAACCACTCAGTCACCCACAAAGTAAGTGAACAAATGCTGTGCAATTTCTCATGCTACATTGAAATTTCCAAATAAGTGAACACTTTTAATTAACACTTACTTGCGAGTTAGATTAGAACAAAGAAGGTTCGTAATAACACACTAAATTGATAGCAAGTGTAAATAAAGCCAACAGAGAGTCAATGAACTCAGGTAAACCTAGAAAAAACGTCATAGACATTTTGTTTGCTCTGTTCAAAATCTCTTCCCATTTAATTGTTAGTGAACTTAGCGAAACTTTTTATTCCAAGTTATCTTTAACTTTTTTGTCTAATTATATCTTTTTAGTATAATTTTTCAATTTTCAAAGATAAAAATCACGTTTAAAGTCTTTGAATTTCAAGAAGTCATATTTGATTTTTTTCATTTCGCTGGTAAGTGTCAAAAACGAAATTTGAGCGCGAACAACTATTAAGAATTTTGCCTGAAAAAGGACCAGTTAAAATAAAGGACCAGTGAAAAAGGACCAGCTTAGTGTGACCAGTTAAAATAAAGTTTCTCAATTCATTCATTAAACAAAAGTCAGTTCTTGGATTTTTCTTCCGGTCACCCCTGGGTGACAAGCATTTCTGCACCGATCAAAATAAAATAAGATCTCCTTATATGTCATTGAGCAAATAAACAGAGCAAAAAAACTGATAAAAGTAAATAAGCTTTAAAAATAAGAATTAGCCCTGACACTGGGCTGAAATACAGCGGGAAAAAAATGCAAAACTAAGCTAGAGCAAGATAAACCCTGGACCATATTAGAGTAAATTGTAACTTAAACTAACCAATCGCCATCCGGTTGATCAATATTGTCAGTGGTAAGATTCGGGGCTTCACTTTCTCCAGTTTTTGTCTAAAAACCAATCAATCATTTATTTTAAAATTTAAGAATGGAGACACTTTTATTCTTTAAACACAACAGGTCATTAGTTTCATTTAACGCTTGCTAGTCACAATTGTGATTCAAAGATTAAAAATCGGATGAGTACAATCATCTATCAATTTCGTTAAAATATCTAACATAAAGTTAAGAAGTCCCGCCGGAGAGCAATGTTTCTCATCATAGTACGAAATAGTGCTACGCTTATTATTCTGAGACATCATGGTGATATTAGACAATGGCGAGCGGGATTGATAGGTGGCGACTAAAAGGTTAGTCATAGAGGCACACGCAATCAGCGGCGTGACTTTCTTTCTGGCCTGTTTTATATTAGGACCAGATATTGTACTGAACGACCAGCGACGTTCATCGGGCTACAATCGGAAGGTAATGACATCATCATATACAGAATAAGTGACACCATTCATTCCTATTTCTTATTTGACTTGATAATGATTCTTTAAGTTTACGCATTTTTTTAACTTCAACTAGCCAAATGATCATAAAGGCCAACCTTGAATCACATTGACACCTGTAATTATTAACTACTAGGCTGAATTCGACAAGTTTTTTATTCACCGAACAAATAGTTTCTTGATCATCAAGAGTTTTGATCATTATCAAGATTCAACACAATTTTTAGAGTTAGCATTGAAGAATGATAAATGAGTATTGTGGAACTCACATTGCCAGCATCAATTTGTGCGGTGAATCCATCTTTGAAACTCGATTCCTTAACTGGAAACACGGGTTCATTCTCCGGAGGTGAACTACTCATCATGTTCTTGCTACTTGCAAACGGATCCGCAATCGCATCAAAGTCAAGATTATCGTAATCTATGCCTTCTGTGTTGTTCTTGCGTGGCAGGGGAGGCGAGTCCATCATCATTTTCTTGGAAGACTTAAAAGGGTCTGCAACTGCTTCGAAATCGAAGTCCTCGTTGTCAAAACCTGCCGAGGGTTTGGCCTCTTCTAGTTCTAATTGACGCAAAGACGTTCAGTTATCACGAAGAGAAAACAAATTGAAAAAGAAATTTGAAAACAAACCTTGTGACGGAGGATTAGCACCAATTTCGTTAGCTGTTTCAGGATTGACTTCAGAAGTTCTAAAACACAATGAAACCAAGCTTAAACGCGCCAAAATTCATTAGCGGATATTAAAAAGTATATCGCTCAGTCAAAATCATCGTGCTACTTTTAGGCAGTTATACATTTAATCGCGTGGTGTTTGTAGTTTTCTTACAACTCATTGTCTGACGGAGGCGGTGGAAAATCTTCCTCGGCCGGGGGAGGAGGAAATTCCTCGACTGCAGGCGGAGATGGAAATGCTTCTGTCGGAGGGGGTGGGAAGTCCTCGTCTTTTGGGGGAGGAGGAAATGCCTCATCTTCTGCTTGCTCTTCGACATCATGTGAATCATTCTGTGTTCGGTTATTCTCCCCTTGTATGATGGAGTAGGATGACTGTTCAGTATCTGTGACGTAAGAGGTATCCCCAGATGACGTAATGAGTTGAGTTGGTTCTGTAGTCTGAACTACGGAAGCTGTTACTGCTGATGGGGCTACTATTTTTGCACTGTTTGAGTCTGGTTGGGCTTGTGCAGAAGAAGAAGAAGCTCTTTTTGGAACAGGAGGAGGCGCTTTTTTGGCCAAATCTTTGCCATCCTCCTAAAAAAAACTGCTCTAATTTTAGTTTACTTAATTATTGTCCTTTACTTGTCCTCTGAAAGTAAGGCAATGTCCAGTGCTTAACAAGCTTTTATAAATATTATAAAATCGCTTTTTCTTTTGAAACTTTACCAAGTAATTTCTACAAAATCCTTTGAACCAGAAGAAATTACTCTTCAGTATAATTCTATGCAAATAAGATCATACCACAAATCCAAATGGTTTGTCTGCTCTTTTATTACTAAAAAAAACTGGTCGCTTACCAGTCCATTTGTATTTTCAGTTGCGGCATCTCCCGCTCCAGTTAATAATTTAGCTTTCAATTCTGACTCAGATGACAGCTTCGTATTGGCACTACGCCTCGCTTTGTGCGGTGGAGTTTTTGTTTTTGTCTTCGAATGAGCCGATGGCCGAGTAATAGTGGCCGATCCATTCATTTCTGGTAGCTGATCTGAAGCTTGACCCGAGGAATCCTCTTCAAGAGCATCTAAAGAACCAGGGTTGTAGGACTCAATTGGCGCGGGGGATCCTCCAGGTGGCGAGTCTTGCATGAGATTCTTACTGCTTGCAAATGGATTCTCAATGGCATCGAAATCAATATTGTCATAATCCACACCCGCGTTGTTTTTGCGTGGGAGTGGCGGGGAGTCCATCATCATTTTATTTGATGATTTAAAGGGATCGGCAACTGCCTCAAAATCAAAGTCATCATCATTGTCGTACGCTGAAGCCATTTTGATTGGTCCTGCTTGTTGCGAAATAACTTGACTCGGAACAACTTGGTCACTTCTTGTGATTGCTTCTTCGCTCTTATCTTTTATCGCAGTTTTTCTATTAGCACCAGTCTGAAACGACTCTTCTTGTAGGCAAGGAAGTAAAGCTTCTTGGTCCGCAGTTTCCCGGTCAAAAGTTCTATTATTATTTGAATCCTCCTCTGACACACTGTTTGGTTCACAGAACGGGTCAGAACCAAAGAAAGAAGAATCAAGCTCCGACTCTGACTTGTTGCTAATCGGTTCTTCAAACTCTTCTAAAACGATTTTTGAGCTTTCACGCAACTCAAACTGGGAATCTGGCTTAAGGGAACTGTAATCACTGTCACTGGAAGATTGGGATCTTTGTGGTTGAAGTAATGGTTTATCTACAGGTAACCTAGTAGAAGGAATTCCTAGAGAAAATGTCGGACGTCTTAGTGGAGAATCAAAAGTGGGAAGAGTATCGAAATCAACCTGATCGGAACTTTTGAACTGCAACAAAGGTGATTGAGAGTAATCGTGTGGGAAACTCTTTTTGACCGAACTTAACCGCTCGTTAACGTTAAAAAGAACAGTAGTACAATCTGCAGCTGAAGTCTTGTCAAAGAATCGTCTTTCGTTACTTTCACTTCCACAAGTTGATCCCGACCCTTCTAAAGAAGACCTGAAGCTCCTAGTTTTATAGTTCACAGGTGTCGCAACGTCGGTAATGGTATCTTCAGATCCTGACACGAGATGATCTTCTACTTCGCCGAGAACCACAGTCGCGTCTAGACTCCAATCGGACTCGGCTCCTGAAGAGTTTCCTTCAACTAAAGAGTTTTGGGAGTCCCCGCAGACCGAATAGTAAAGACTATTTTCACTGGAAGAAACGGTTCCGTATTTGCGATTCGGGGAAGCAGTAGTACTGAGATAAAGACTACTACTAGGAGAGGTAACTCCACTGCCTAGCTCACTAGAACCAGAGCTGAAATTCAAATAACAAAAAGATCAGATAGATGAAAAGCAAACAATCAACATTAATTTTTTGAGACAATCAAAGTTGCTGTTTGTAATATGCAACTTTTGTGAGATAATTAAGTCAAGCATTGATTAGTTTTCCGGTTGGCGCTTCAGCTTGGTGTGACAACAAGTTAAAATCTAGCATAATATCTTGCTTCTATTATCACACCCTCGCTTTATCATCAGAACTTATCTGATATATATACTGTTTAGTACGACTTACCATTTTGCTTTTAAGCAACGATGATCATAGAAGTACTAAACAAATTCACAGCAAAAATATAACCAAAAAAAGTAAAGCACATAGCAGAATTTGAGAATATTTGAACAGAACTAGGTTCACATTTAACTTACTATTCCCTAAAAAGCCAAGAGTAATAATACACAAGGACAGTCGATTGATGAGCATGTATCACAGAATGATCCGGCCACACTGATTGAAGAAATTGAAAAAAAAAATCAATTTTTGTTCCGACCATTGAAAATGGGGAGGAACTTTGTATTCGAATTTGTTTTAGTTTTTTGTTCTCCACACAAAATCAGGTACCACAAACAATTATCGGACTGGATTGAGTGATATATCATATCAAATCCCTTTCAGTCGTGATTCAGAACTTCAATTTTATGAATCGAAACTATTTTTAAAAGCTAAATTTGACACTTCACTAGCAAGAAAAACTTCAAAAAAATCTTAAAAATATTGTTAAAAAGAAAAAAATTCCGCATGGCCCTCAAACAATCGAAAGCACGCGAAATTTCGAAGTGAATTTACCACTTCTGTGTCCCTCCCCTCCATTTTCCTACGACACTGATGACATACCTTTCGGCTTTGTTTTCCAAGTCGGCTAACTGATCGTCTATCTGGTTGATTACCACACAGTGCTTAGTCTGCACCTGGGGTGAAAAGGGCCCAGTCGAATTTTCAAAATTTAAAGAGGGCGGCGGAGGGGGAAGACCAGTTGCAGTTTGGGGTTCCTTTGGCGTGTTTTCAGTACTGGAAGTCTGTTCCTGTTGCTTGAACGGAGTTAAACCTCCTCTGTTCACTTCTGAAGACTCGTTCTTGGCAGAATCCTGAAAAATTGAAGCTTAAATTATCGTACATTTTGATATTATTCAACAAAATACAATTTCATATTATTTTTAATCAATAATAATCTTTTAAAAATAAAGTCCAAACATTCTTGTAAAAAAAATCGTTTTACAGGAAATTTTTAAACTAAATTATCACGTCAAAAAAATCAAAAACTATTCAGCGTAAAACTTGACATTGACGAATCATTCAGTCAGTTCATGTGATTTAAAACGCAAGGTCAATTAAATGAGACTAAGATAGATCAGCTCACCATTGGCTAGCAACAAACAGATTATGGTAAGAAGAAGAAGCGAAATAGGAGAACAACAAGGCCGAATTAAGTCAGAGTGAGTAGCCTAGATTGAGTAATGACTATGGTTATGCTGCGACATACAAGCAGTTGTTTCAGTTATGTCTACTAGTACGCTCAGTTTCTTATGCGTAATAAACCGTGAAAAAAGAGCTATGGTAGCAGCTAGCAAACTTAAAATACGTTTTTTAGATCCGAAACTGAAATCATTACATGGAATGTTTAGGATCGTCTCGAGTGTTCTTATAAGCTCAGCCTTTTCTGCAACATCATTTTTTTGCAGAAATAGTTTTTAAAAATTGCAAGTTGCTCTCGCATTTTTTCCTCTTTTTCAATTTATTCCTCGGCTTTTAAAACTAAATACATTGGATGCCAAGTAAATTTGGATGTAATAACAAAAAACGAAACCCAATTTTTTTTTAATTTAGCGCAAAGAAACTGCATGGCAAGCCACAACGGACATAAGATTCAAGCATAAAATTTCGCTAAAACAATGTGTAGCTGAGTCATGACTACCACAAAACTTTAAACGAGGTTCACGGAACACCATAGATTATTTAGGTTCGTTACTTTCACCGCTAAACTGAATTAACTGGTACGTTATTTCATTGCTAAACTGAATTAACTGGTAACGACGGTTGCCAAGTTAACGTCAGTTGCAAAATTTCAATGAACGCAAAGAAACGAAAAAACTGACTTGCTGTTTGAAAAAACTTCAAACTTAGAATTTCAAAAAGAAAAATATATTGCCTTGAAGCTTTTTGGTTTTCAAGAACTATTTATGACAGAGGCAAAGCTGACGAGGAAAAATACAAAAAGCAGCTCTCGAAAGTGAAATAAAAAAGGTAAAAATAAGCCTCAAAATAAACTTTTGCTGTGGCAAATTCGCTTCTACGACCAGGAGATTTAGAATGCCCTATTCTCTCATCTACGCCACGGGCTCTTGACAATTTAGTAAGACTAGCCTTAGATAAAGCAGCTACATGATTTAACAAATTGCCAATGCCATGCAGCAAAAATGACACCAAATACAAATAGACAAAATTTTGCAAGCAATAGTTTGAAATATAACAAACTGAAGGCTTCCGCACTAATTATGCATGTAATATATTGGCAAGCATAAAGCCACACTATGTATCAACTATGCATTTCAAAACATTGCGAGATATAGTCAGTTACAAAAATTTCTGAAATCGACAATTATTTTTATTATGTTGTTTGAAACAACTAATTTTTACGGTTCATTTGATGAGTTTAAATTGTATTATTTGTGTTAACTTCGAATGTCAAAGCACATGCTATCAAAAAGCCGTAAAAATGTCCCAAAAAAGGCACCAATATTTGCCACTTAAGTTAGAAAAAAAAGTCGTAGTGTAACACTAACGCTAACTGAAGTTTGCCAATAGCTAGTGTAAATAAACGTCAAAACAATCAAAAACCAATGTCTCTTTTTTGCGTTGCCACATCATTCCACGATTCGTGAAGACATAAAATAGGCGTGCAAAGCCCACTTGTAACAGACATTTTTATTCAGGGTTGTCTGAACAAAGAGTTTTTTGATTAAAATAAAAATTCTAACTGAGCGCAAACACTAAATGTTCCATACAATTTCCTGACTTACTGTTCCGACTTTCGTACTGAAAATAACGAAATATTTGTGCTCGAGGTGGGTTTTTTTCTTCAGAAAAATTTTAACTAACTATTTTTGAAGACATTTTTTTTATATCATTCAAAAGATATTGTTGCCCTGATCTTAAAAACGAATAGATATTTCACCTGTGATTATTTTTCGTAAAATTATGGGGGTTTAAAGATTGTTATTTTGGCCAATTCGGGACAAATAACCTGCGATACATTTCGCGCTATTAACGCGTAAGCGGAGATTTAATCAGTCTTAGAAATTGTTCCAAATTGGTTGAAACAATCTTATCTGCCATAATTAATTTGTTACAAGGAGCGAAATCTATCTTCTCGAACTTATATGGCGTGTGGGGGGGGGGGGGGAGGAATATAAATTCATTTTTTTATATTCAATTTTTTGATGTTATTATGCTGCATAAACCTTAAAAGGCAGTCGGAACATTCAGGGCTTTGCCCTGATACGAGCATTCTTGTTCCAATTTAGGATGAAAACTTGTGCGAAATGTCTCTACAATTTTCGCGAAGCCTAGCTTCAATTTAAAAAAATTACCCAGCACAGGCAGCATTGCTTCAGAAAAAAAAACGTCTACAAAAACTGAGATAGTTAACAGAAAACTAAACTAAACTAAAAAAAATATAGCACTTAGCTGCATTATTTTTTACATCAGCACTCTTGAAGCGCATTTCCATCAGAGTTATAGATTGGCGGCAACTATCTATGGCAAATAATAGCTCTCATGTTCAAAAATCAGTTAGTTATAAATACCATCAAGATTTCCATCTCTTCAGATTAGAGAAACTTAAGATTTTCATGTTTCATCGGTCATGTTTTATCATCAGCTTAGCTAGTCAAAATTAGGAGAGTCATCTGCCCCATTTCGCTTTAGGGAGTCCTGGTGGCTTTCTTCGTAAAAAAAATGTGAGTTCACAATATTCATTAAAAATATAGTCCAGATAAGTTCGCGCAATGACTGTTATTGAACAATCAAATCTGCAACACCTCAATTATCAACGTTTACAACAAAGCTTAAAACCTAAATAAACCAAAGTACCCTTCCACTGCACCACCAGGTCAAAACGTACGAACTGCAATTTTTCTCAGATGATCTTATGTATTCAATTGCAAGATCGAAAAGCCATCCACGATTATAAAATTTTATGGCCTCTTATTCCAATGATTGTAGGTAGAATTCAGCCACCAACTTATCAGATCTTTTGCTGTGAAATAAATGTTCGCTCAATTTAGCATTAATGAAAAATGATTAATGAGAAATTACGCTTGATCAATACTTACAAATTAAGGTCTAAAATAGTCACGAATCTTCAACACTTAAAAAGCCAACTTCTGAAATATAAGAAATTTTGTCAGAAAACAAGCCTTACCAGTTTCTCATTCGCATTCACAACGTTGTTGATATCAAGTTTCTGTAGAACCCTGCATTCATTATCCATCTGAAAACAAAAAACATGAAATCACTCTTACCATAAAGTTAGCCCTGTTGATTACTCATCCAAATGACTTGCTTCACTTGAGAATACCTATTTAGGACAATGATATCACCCTTAATCTTATATTTCTAGGAACTAGCCCCAGTCATTTCCGACAAGACATCAACTAATTGACACTTTACTTCGTCCAAATCCGCACACAATTGAAGTCTTTCGTTAGGCAATCAGTAATTAACTGAACAATAGTTGGCCGCACTATAAATACCACATATCTTCTCGGGATAGCATTCAAAACTTTAATCCATTCTCTATCCTCAACAGAATTTAGTACAAAACCTAACATTACCCCAAAATGTCTTATTCAGCCAAAAGCGAAGTTCAACAAGAACAGAGGTTCTCAGTGTGTGGGGGCGGCTCCGTCGTGATGCTTCCGGAGGCGACTCTGAGCGGGACGAGTAGCGAGGTGGTTCCCGGGGTGTTCTACAGACACCAAAGCGCCCACAAAACAGAGAAGGCAGATGCACACGGCAGAAGCTCCAGGGTCGAGGCGGTAAGTAGACAACCCCCTCTCTCCCCTTCCTTACCCCATCCCTCATTAACCATTTATTGATCGTAATATAAATAGATGGTAACTAATTAATCTTGCTTTATGCTCCATTTAGACCCGATTCGAAAAAAGGGACGCAGCCGGACGACAACTTGAGACTGTAAGTAGCAATAAAATTATGAAAAAAAAACTTTCAAAAAAAAGACCAAGACCAATTCTAGAAAAATATTATATTTTCAGACGCACCGAGAACTCATTACGCCAGGATGTTAAGGAAGACATCAACTAGAAGCTTCAAGTGCATCGAAATTCCCTCATTGTTGATCTCTGCTTTGATTATTGATCGATGAACTGTCACTCATAATTCGTTAAGTGCTCAATTTTCCGCTAAACAATAAAGTTTGCAGGCACCTTTTTTCCAACATTGAAACACCACAGGAGTCGAACAACATGCAATTAAGCCTAACAACGTTTCTGATACCAAATTATTGATTTGATTCACGAAAATTTCCAAAATTAACTGCGAACCCCCCCCCCCCCCCCCCCCCCTTCCCCCCCTAACTTTCCATCGCTTTGTTTAAGTTCGTATGCTACCTAAGCAACCATGGACAACAGTTTAGCTCATGCCCTTTAAAACGAGCGTTAACCCGGGTACCTCAAAAAAATTCACTAAAGCTGTCTGGTAGATCACACTAAACCCTTCCAGTCGTCATTCAAGCTCAATAAGAACATTTTAAGCAACTTGCTGTTGAAAAAAATTTTGGAATTTTTTGTTTTTAAGACAGGCGATTGGCGAGATAGTTAACTATTTTAAGCAATCAAAGTGACAAGACCATTACTTTTATTCTTTCAGTTAAACGAAAACATTTCTTGAATCTCATTGAAATTTTGTACTCACTGAAGTCCAGCGCCTCTAAATCAAACAAACAGGCTGACAGATTCGAAAAAGAATACTGCCACTTAATTGCGCTGAAGTTAAGGTGCTACTTTTTAAATTTCATTCTGATACTGAAAAACACAAACAGTCTTTTCTTCGATACGCTCTGAGAAAACCGTGCTACGTGCCTAGCCTTTCTAATCTATACAGAAGATATGGCAACAAAAACTTGGATATGAAAAAAGACTGTTCGAAAATTACAAAAAAATGTCTAAATTAAAGCTTTGGGTTCTCACAATTCCAAGCCGGAAGCGTTTATTATCACAAACCAAAGAAAAGCTTCACGCCGCTTTCGATAATAAACACACAAATCATGGCTCACTAGCCGCCAGAGAATTAACCGTGTTTTCACAAATAAAAAGATGAAAAAACTAGATCTACCAAAGATTCTGTTTGTTTGTCTTGATTTGGACTAAATAAGTTCATTTTGGGAAAAAGCGCTAAGTGAGACAACTTAATTCTACATTAGCCTCGGAAACCTTATGAAGCGGTAATAAAGCTGACAATACTTAAGCAGACGCCGTTTGAGCCAAAAAAAAGGTTTACTCATTTAAAAAAAAATTAAAGTCCCCCTCAAAACAGACACACATAAGAACTAGCGAAGATAGCCCGTTACAAAAAAAGTATATTAAAAAAAAAATTAGAGTCGTTTTTTCTGCGTGGTGTGATAAAAGGAATTTTCTTAGGTATATTCGACAGTCATAGTACAAAAAGGCTAATTGGACAACAGTTTTTGTTAAAAAATGGCTAGAAAAACAAAAAAATCATTTCAAAATCCGTGAATTTGAGCAGATTCCCAAAATGGCGCAAAAAACTCCAAAAACCAACTTAACTGGGAAGAAAATTAAGTTTTCACGGCTTGAATAAAGCATAAATAAGATATAATTAACCTTCTCGCTCGCATTGTTCGCTCGAAGTTAGACTAAAAATCAATAATATCAAACCGGTTTTTCTCAAGACTGGGACAACTTTTTTAAACTTTTCAAGTGTCGTTCGAATTACGTTTGAAACGGCTTTAATATGATATATACTTCGACCCATTCCAATAATTACTTGTGGTACATGTTTTGCGTTGAAAGAAAAACAAACAACCGAACAAAACTCCTCTCCCTTTTCAATAGTCGGAATAAAACACTTCAGTCTCTCGTCAATCTGAGGCCACTACACCAATATATACATTCACTACTCCTTATTACAATAGTCTAGAAAACGATAATGCTTTTAATGGAGTCCGAATAGCATGAAAGAGCTTTGATAAGAACATACAACTCACTGCGAACATTCATTGAAGTATCTGAAGTAATGTAAAAATAATCAAGCCTAGGCCATAGTTACTTTCCTTTTTTCCAGAAGGGTAGGAAAAATAATTGTCATCATTGAAAATTAATTTGGACTTAAAATACCTTTCCGACATATCCTTGCAACAAAGATACAAAAAAGATTAAATAGGGAAGTGTTGATCCAGAAAAAAATTTAAACTTCGCAAAATAATCCCATAAGAGGAGAAAACTTTAACATCAACAATTATCAGCCTTTAAATGATTTGGGCACAGCAATCCACCCGTCTTAAGAAATTGACGGTAATTTGAAAAAAAAAACAACCTTCAAAATTGATAATGAAGGAGTTTCACGTGGTTTTCATTGTCTTTTAAAGTTTTTCACACTTCGACTAGATGATCATTACTAATCAATTGTCGTGTCGAATGCTTTGAAATCGATTGATAACGCCCGGAGAAAAACATAAGACATAACCTTAACCTTAGCTTTTGCAAAGAAAAAAACGCTATTTTTATCCCTGTTTGCGAGATTGGATCAATTGAGCAGAGTGGGGGGCGTGGGAGTGAGATTGCTCAATTGATCCGCGAGATCTCCTACCGGAAACCTCTCCTACCGGAAACCTCTCCTACCGGAAACCTCTGCCACCAGAATCTTCTTCTTCTTCACTGGCATAATAAACTGATTTTACCATTGCTCATAAATGTTGCACGTGTTAGCGCTTCAAATATATTTACAAGGCCAATTATCACAAAATACAATTTGATATGAAAACGAGATAATAACGCTACATAAACCCGAGAATTGGGTCATAGTTCCGATCTATCGGTAATGCTTTTTATTGATTGTACTAAATCAGTCAATTTGGAGACAACTTCTTGTCTGTATTCGTCCATCTCAGAATCTAACTGTATCTTTTCCCCTACTCCGCTTCGTAAATCCTTTTCCACCAATAGATTCACTAACACAGGTTTCAAACTTTCAAGCCATTTTTTGAACTGTGATCTGACACAAATGTCATCTTCAGTAAATTTGCGAGCAGCATCAATCAAAACTTCAAAAACATTCAAATTAACGGTCAAATTTGGGCTAGTAAAAGCTTTGTGTATTAATTTACAAGAGCACGATATTTTCTTTATGACCGCCGCTACTTCGTACTGTTTTCTTCTTGTCGGATCATGAGCTTCGGTCTCTTGAAGCGCGAACGCAGCCTCAGAAAGCAAATCCATTTGAAGCTGCAGTACTCTGTGACTTGGTATATAATCACTTTCAGCTAACTTGCACAGAAGCTGAAATCCGCTCATATCTCCGAACACTTTCTGGGCAAATGGGAAATTTCTTATTAGTGCAGATAATGCATTAAATGCTGATTTCGTCACTTTCGAATCAATTTTTGAATCCATAGATCTTGTTAGAAATTGTAGAATTTGTCCATTTTCAATAGCAAAGACCTTTAGCTTTTGGTTGCTTTGCAAGCACGCTGATAATGTTTTCAGAGCAGCTTGTTTTACTGAAGCTTCAGAATGGTTGTAAATATGTTTTATTAATTCCAATCCATTCATTTTTAAGATAAAATCTTCCGCATTATCAATTTGATGGACATAATATGTCAGATCTTCTAGCTTCGGTAAAATGAAGTCATGATCAAGCTCATGAATAATTTGACTTCTGAAATAATTTGTGATCTCTTTCACTATTTCAGACTCTGTTTTCATTTGTTTGTTCATTTCTGCGAAATCTTTTCTGAGTTCCTCGATATCACGATATTTCGACAGATCGGCCAGGTTTTCATTTTTCGGTCCGTCATCTGGTAAACCAGACAATTTAGATTTCAACTCTTCACCCGATAGATGGTTAAACTTCCCGGTGTGATCCACCCACGCGTTACTTTCATCCAATTTACCATTTTTCACGTCAGTGTCGTCCAAAAGCTTAGCCTCTTTCAATCCTGTCTGCAGATTCATTCTGTAATGCAAACCTGACGGTAACACTTGACCTGGTTTGACCTTTTGCCAATATCTCGAAGGTATGAAAAGTTCAGCTTCTTTTTCTTCCGGCCCATTTGGATTTCCACTCAGACCTTTAATCTCCATTTGACTATCTTCGTTGTTTTGATTTTCCACTACCTCTCGTACAAAAACGACCGAATTGTCTTCACTAGGGTAGATTTCAACGGCACTTAAAGTAAACAAAACAAGAAACAAAATAATCGACATTTTCGCAATCTGAAAAAAAAAACGGTCGCTTTCAGTGAATCTATTACTTCGGAAGACTCCTGCAAGAAATAGCATACAAATAAAGTATACTGCAATTATTTTCGCTTAGTAAAGATTTGTTCACCGTAAAAATATGAATTATTCCTCAAAGATATTATCAAATCGCTATCGAAAACGAAACCAAATTCGTAATCAAACAGCCTCAAAGATATGAGAGGTTATATCAAACATGCATCTTCAGACAATTATGTAGTCGAAGCAGTTTCAATATGTTTGGAGCACGCATAGAAAAGTTTGAGTCATCTGCAGCATGTACAGTCAAGTCAATTGAGTTGTCAGAAGATGAATAAGGAAACAAATATCTAATGTTGCCACAATCGTAGTTCAGTTGATCTTCAGCAACTCCACATCAAATATGAGAGTGGCGTTCGGCGGGATGACCCCTGCTGCCCCTTGGCTCCCATAACCATACTCGGGTGCAATGGTGAACCTAGCCTTCTGCCCTAAAGCATTTCACCAATACTTTAAATTTCAGTTGAACATTATTCGGAAAACTCAACTGAAGATTATCAGTGACATCTTCCTAGTTCAGTGATCAACCAAAAAAAAGAAACGTTATAATAGTCGAACTACGCTTAGGGACACCTATATAAATTATCAAATCAAAAATAAGATCGATCACGAGAACGCACCATTTAGCCTTCTAAAAATTGTTTCCACAATAATCACTTTGAATACAAGAGAAAAACCAATTTTTTTTTCTAAATTCTATTATTTGAACGGTAGAGTGTTTTAATCACCATGCTTTGTTTTTTTTAAACTGTTTGGCTAATGTTGAAATTTTTGTCTCATTCAGGAACTCTTTAGAATATTTTTTCGATTATTGGGTACTAATTATCATTTCATCTGCAGCACTACATGAGAAAAAAACAAGACATCAGAAAAACTGACGAAAGTCATGATTGCATCGTCATTATGATATGAACTCTTCTCTTACCTAGCGACAACTGAGGCACGCCCTCGTCCCACCCCTTGATGACCTGGCCGACACCGACTGTGAAGGAGAACGGCTTTCCCCTGTCTCGGGAGGAGTCGAACTTCTTTCCGTTGGTGAGTGTGCCAGTGTAGTGCATCTGGATCTTGTCCCCCTTCTTGGGGAAGTTGGTCCCATCTCCGGCAGAGAGCAACTCAACTTTCAAGGGCTGCGACATTATTTCGAACTGAAGGAGATTAAAAATTGAATGTATAAAACCACCAAGTCTTAGTACAAACCTAATATCACAGTGCGATTGAGGCAAGAAAAGCACGTAGCACGCCACCATTATTGAAGCAGAAGTCAGATATCTTGTTAAAATCACGATGCTGCATCGAAATTCAAGAAGTTTTTCTCAAACAGATGAAAGAACGCTTACATTTTGACATCCAAATCATTGCAGAACAAGCTTCAGTATGACACCTCATTCGAACCACTTCAACTTTCTCAGAGATAACTAATAATTTGCTGCGATTTTCAAGATTAAACGTGATTTCTAGATTCTCTAGCACTCATGAAAGCTCATTTGGGAAATGTAACCAGGGCAAATAATCCTTTGTAAAAACGATGGACAATGGGATTTTTTGGGTCCACTCATTGCTTGTCTTGTAGCTACAGGAAAATGATGAATTAAGAAAAGAGAAAAAATCTAAAAATCGTAGAAAAATCTGAAGAAAACGTCTTGTCTTGTAGCTACAAGAAATTGATAAATTAAGAAAAAACTAAAAATCGTAGAAAAATATGAAGAAAATCACAAAACTCTAGGAACTCAATTAAGTGAACCTTTACAGGAACACAACCAAAACACTAGCAATTTCAGATATGAGAGGGTAGTTTTCGAGAAAAATCGAAAAATTTAAAAAACGGTCAAGAAATCGAAAATTTGACTTTTTCGAGGGAAATACCTTTTAGGGTGAAAATATTGTAAGTGGTCGCTAAAGCCGGGAAGCTTCTATCTTTATTGACCCGTTATCTTTATCAGACCAGCAATCTCAGATTTGGAAGGTTGGTTTTCGAGGAAAAGCGAAAAGATTATAAAAATAACGGTAAAAAAAGCAAAAATTTCCTTTTCCAATTGCCATAACTTAATAAGTAAAAAAAATGGGCGCAGCCGCTAATGCAGGGGGGAGTTTTTTTCGTTCAATCTTTTGAAACCGAAATATCAGATTTAGCAGGGTAGTTGAGAAAACCAAAAAAAATCAGAAAATGGTTCAAATATTCTTCCACATGCTTTTTCGAAGGCTGCAGAAAAAAGGTAAAAAAACAGACTAGGGAGAATGCGGGCACACATGGAAGTAGACGGTCTTTCCAATGATACCCGTTTTTTGTGACAATCGATAGAAAAATATAAGAGAAAAACATTAATAAACCTATCCGATACATTTTCATAATACCTGGTTCCATCATTTTCATCGTTTCAAACAAAATAAAATTTAAAAACCCTTTCACATATATTTTCATAATGCCTGTTTTCATCAAACAGGAATTCCAAGCAAACATGCCATGCAAGACATTCAACATTCAAGCTTAAGTTAGCGACGGAACAAAACTTACGAAGCGGAAACAAAGCCGACAATTTTTAAGCAGACTCCCGTTGAGCAAAGAAAGAAGAGATTTTGAAAGTTTTTTTTTTAAACTTCAAGTTATCTTGAAACAACAACGAACAACACTTGCAACTAACACGAACAGCACTTGCAACTAAGACGACAGACCTTGAGCAGACAAACTGAAGTCCGGCAAAAAATAAACGGAAAAAATTTTTCAATGCATATATAGTAAAAGAAACAAGGTCCGAACGGACTTCAAAACCCGGAACTTAGGGTGCGAAGGCGACGGCGTTATCTCTAAGCCAAGTGCAAAGGAACCTGTAAGTTGTTAAGATGCAATCATAAAGCAAGTTAAAAATATGAAAGAAGATGTTGACGGGGAAAAGACTAATTCACGATTACAAGAGACTAGTTTTCGCAAAAGTAAATAGGGTAAGACACCAAAAGAGAATGTACAAAAATATATGTATTTATGTATAATATATATAATAAATGTATATATTCATATGAGTTTGAAAATTGACAAAAAATGTAGATGCAGATATAACAATGACTTATGATGGCTATAGGCCGTCACACTACCTAGCATTGGGAAAGTTTCCGGCAAGTTCTTTTTTGTTTTGATCCACTACTTGCTTCAGAGACGGTATTCTGCAGTCCCGATAGGGTATGCGTGTTTAAAGGTGGTGAAATGATGGCGTGCTTAGAGGAGTTGGTGGGTGCATGCAGAGTGGACAAACAGGCGAGCAGAGGAGTTAGCATAGCAGTGCTAGCATTAAAGGTTGCGTGTCTCAGTTGTGTAATATATGCGTACGTGTAGAAGAAGGCTTAGAAGTAGCGACAGTGGGGACTTGTATTTTGGATAGGGATGAATTAGAAACATTTAGTAGAATCATTAGACTCTTTTGTAGAGTTTATTTGAGATTGTTTGTCTTCTTTAGTAGTTGACACCCTTTTCCTGCATGGTGTGTAGCTACATGTCCATTTTTCTTGCAATGTTCTTTATTTTTCAGATATTATGTCTTCATGTGTAAAATTCTTGCAGAACTTTGTCTCCGAGAAGGAAGGAGGAAGAATCGGAGTGTCTGAACTGTTATCAGGTCTTCTTTCCTCAAGTGGACGTCGACTCGATACAGTCCAACTGGAACCTTTTTGGGGTTCTAGTTTCATCAATTTAAAGCTTAAATTCTGATCCATCACGATTCTATCCTAGTTAATTAGACTACGAGTCAAACGCATTAGTAATAACGCTAATTCAGTTTAATGATGCAGATATTTTAACATACAAACTTCAGAAGAGTGATCAAGTTTACTTCAAATTCGCAAAAGACAATTTACAAATTTCGGAGATTTTTGAGCTATTCAATTTGTCTTTTTACGTTCCAAACTGAGTGAGTTCGACTTAGCTTGAAATTTGAAAAAATATATGCATGAAAAAGCTTTGATCAGTAGAAAACATCAAATGTTATAAATTGAGAGAACAGTTATGACTGTGGAGAGTTAAAGGCAATTAAGCCTGTCGAGTGATGATGCCTTGCATCATTGCTTTGTGTTGCTTGATATCTAATCGGGATTGCTCGACCGATCCATCGACATAATGTTCGAAAAATTCCTATCATAGTTTAGTTAGACTGTTTGGACCAAGTTAACATCCGCCCCCCCACATGGGGGGTGGGGGAGGATGTTAACTTGGTTCTGTGTTGGGATTTTTCAGCCAATCAGAATCGAGCATTTTACATGCAGCTCTGAGCAAATTTAATTTAAATTAAGCGCTGGGGTGGAAGATCTTAACTTGGTCTATTTGGGGGGGGGGGGGGGGGGGGGGAGGGGGGTTAAGCTAACCTGGATGTTTAAGCTAACCTGGATACTATCGCATTGCCTTTCGTGATAGAAAGTAGATTTCGACTAGGATGTCAATTGTATTACCTGTGCGCTGCAAGTTGCTGGCAGAGGCAGAAATAATGTTTCATTTCGAATAAAAGTTAACTAATAGAAGACATTTATTTTCTCTCTGATTGAGATTCGAACCTGTTCTCTCAGTATAGGAATGTGCGACAGGTACAGTACACCAGAGACCTTTCTGATGAGAAAAAAATGAATAATTTGGAATCATTTCGTTTCTAGGACATATTGCCTCTGATCAAGATTTGAACCTGCCTATCGGGCGTGCTGGACTTAAATATATACACTCAGCTATGAAAAAAAAAACCTAGCCTACAGAGTTGCAAAAGAAACAATGAATGCAAGGAAACAGAAACGAAAAACTGAACTTCAATTTTAGAATTTAAGTATAAAAATATACGTCCTTAAAACTCCTTGAATTTACAAAACTTTCAATGACTATAATGTATTCAAGTTTTTTTATTATTAAATTAATTCAACTTGAAAAAACTGGATCAATAAGTAAAAATTTGATTGCTCTGGGAAATCTTAAATTAATTCCACTCACGAAACTCAACGCCGATCAAGTTTTTCGTGGTTTTTACCCCTTTTGTTGTTCAATATTGGAATTTGCCTTCTTTTTACCAAAAAATGTACTGAACTTAAAAAGAAATCAAAGGTCAAACCGCGAAATATCAAATTTGGTGTGAACAAATTGAAAGACTTTTTTCTGAGAAAAAATCATCAGAACCAATATAAGATTCTGAACTACGCTCATCGACTCTTTTTGCAACTTCAAAAATGAAATCAATCTCCCTGTAATTCATTAATTCTCTGTTGAGATAAATGGGATTTCTTCTTGAGAATCAAATAGAGATTTAATTTTCCCTCGAAAGCAAGCCACAATGAAAAAAGGAGGAAAACGATGCCAAATTTGCGAGATCGTCATAATTCGGGCCCAGTCTACAAAATCAAGAACTCACGGTTGCTCGTTAAAAGTAGCCTGAACTCGTGCTTTCGTCTGCAAGGGTGGTGGAAAAACACGGACCATCGAGAACTTAAGATGACTCAACTTTTGATTGAGTTACCACTAGCTCACTTCAGTAGGTGAAATAATTCAGTTAAATTTTCAGATCAATTTGGATTCTTAATCAATCGAAGCATTGCATCCCGTCGCTATCAACTGTCCACATAATTCCTGAATTTAGTTCTGTTTTGCTGAAACATTTTTAACTCTGCAGCTTCAAAATTTAAACACTACACAGAGGCGAAGCAGAGCTTCACACCACTTGCGATAAAAAAAAGAATGACTCTCACTACTTACAGATGAACCGAAAAACTGAACAAAAACAACTTCAAATTTTTTCTCAAAAAATGAAAATTGCAAAATATCCGCATTTGGAACTGAAATAACTGCACCTTCAAAAATGCAAATAGAGATGAAAGTTTAAGAAAAAATCTTTCTCCTCAAAGCATTTAGATAAAAATTGTTTGCTGCTCAAACCTCTCAAAAATAGCCAACAGACAGTTGGAAAACAGTCAATGAACGTAAATGCACAAAAAAAACAGACATTTTTTTGAAAAAATCTCAACTTTATAGTTTCAAGGAAAAAAGTAGATAGCCTTACAGCTCTCTGAACTTCTAGAACAATTTATGATTGACACTTTTTTGATTTGGGAAATTGGATAATTAATTTCCTTTTTCGAAACTAGAAGTCAATGACGTTTTTCGTGACCTTAACACTTTCACTGTTCGATAGTGCAGTTTGCCTTCCTTTTAACAAAAGAAACTAAATGATCTAAAGAAATCAAAATTCTAACCTTCAAAAAGTAAAGTTGACCTACGAAAGAGTCTGAACTACATTTATGGACCCTTAAAAAAGGTCTCTGATCCGATATATTATAAGCCGACACTTTCTATATTATAAGCCGACACCTTTTATATTTTAAGCCGGATAATAAAGAACAAAACGAAAACATTAACTGATATACTGAAATCGGAGTTGGTAAATTAGCAACCAAAATCAATTAAAACTTCGAATAAAATGGGCATTTAAAATGCAGCCACTCTCAAAAACTGTCGGTTCTCCCTATTCTCTTGTTGACGATAGAAGAAATGACCAAAATTTCAGTCATCCATCCTGTGAACGAAGTTAAATACACTACGCTCACTAGTGCAAAATGACCAACGTAATTTGACACTTTCTCTTATGAAAAATTTCGCTGGTTTTACAGCCAGGGGTGGATCTAGGATCGACTAATTTTAGGTCGACCAAATTGGTTTTTCGACTTTCCCAATTATAAAAAGACCCTGTTTCGGTCATATTTTTTGCGCCGCCGTCGAATTTATAAAAAGCGTTTTTAAACACTTTTTGGACAATTTTGACCAAAAAGTCGCTTTTTTGGCCTTATTAAATCCGCCCTTGTTTACATTAGTATTTGGTCCAAAACCCTTACTCAAGCACAAAAAAAAAGATCAGCTTTGATAGTTTTTTTTCTGGTGGTAGCGAGGCAGTACAAAATTTGAATACATTTTAGATTCCATGAAACAGATAACAATTCAATTTATATCAATCAGCTTTTATTGGCATGCGGCTCGCCGTCGCTATTATTGTCTCCACTTGGTGCAACATTCTCAACTGTCTGTTTTGAAACAGCATCCTCTAAACTTTCGTCCAACTGTTCAGTTTTTCCTCCTGACAGAAAACCAGATTTAATTGCATCTACTAGTTGAATCGGAACACCTTCTAAATTAACTCCTGTCGTTGATGACTTTTTGTCTGGATCCGTCTCGACAAAAACAGCCATCAATGCTCTCTGAATATCTGTCGGATTGGATGGAACTGAAATCTTTACAGTCACAAAATGATCTCCAAAGTTTTCCCCTACACGCGATTTTCTCACTCCTTTTCCCGCTATTTTAAATTTCTCATGTGAACTTGTGCCTTTCGGAATTCGTAGACGAACTGAGTCGTATAACCCTTGCACGTGGACTACACCACCTAAAACTGCTTGTGACACCGAGATTTCAATATCCGAGTATACATCGAAATCGACTCGTTTAAAAATGGAACTGGGCATGACTCGCATTGTCACGAAGACCTCTTCACTTCCGACAACCATGCGAAGAGTTTGATTATCGGAAACTCCTGGAGGCACTGGCACAACAACCGTCTTGTATGTTTCAACACTGCCAGAGCCTTGGCAATTGCGACATGGAACCTCGATTATTTTCTTCTTTCCTCTACAATACCTGAAAAAGAAGCTTTACATATATCTCTAGTTGAATTGAGCAAAAACAAAACAAGCCTGGATACTGTGATATAGCTTCTGCCGTAATTGAAAACTGATTGCGTTTTCAGACGACTTCACGGACTGCTACTGGGTTTCATATGACCAACCCTAGTAAACACATTAATTTGTTGTAAATAAAAGCCCTTCCAGGTAAGTTCCATCTCAGTTCAGTCGCATGTCAAAGACAATTATAGTAAGCTGAGCACATTCAAATTGCTAACCTACAAGTCTGCTGCAAGATAAAACCACCTTGAGAAAATGTCTCCATTCCAGATCCGTTGCAGTTCTTGCACTTGGACACTTTCGATCCTGGCTCTGCTTTAGAACCCTTGCACGAATTGCATTTCTCCTTAACCTAAAAAAAAGTGAGGCTTTCAAGTTTGAAGCAGAGCTATCATCCAACTGAATTTCATGCCGAAATTGGGCTTTATCATGCCGAAATTGGTTTCGCGTGACTATAGATATAAACAAAGAAAAATTTAGTTTTTATATGTTCATTTTACTTTCAAGGATGCAGCTTGGATGTTGCAATTTTAATTTTGCCTGAAATTAAATAAGCTACATATCCATAACATAGCGAAGATATGATTGGAAAAGTGTTAAAAAAAACAAAAATCCGTTTTTGAACATTTTGCAACTTCCGAAAAAATAATATCATTTTGAAGCTCTTTGAATATAAAGAAGAGTGCGTGCTTGGCTTTTTTTTTCGTTAATTTATTTCATTCAGGTAAAACTTTTGGAAGTCATTCACGTTTTCGTGACCTTAACACTTTTGCTGTTCGCTAGCGGAGCTTTCCTTCCTCCGCTAGCGAACCAATAGTCAAGCCGTGAAAAAACCAAAGAGCAAAAAAAACATAGCAAAAGGCAGTTGCAAAAAAGTCAAAGAACGCAAAAAAAATCGAAAAAAAAATAGTTGAAATTTTCAGCTTTCGGATTTCAAATAAACAAATTACATTTCAACTCTTTGCATTTTAACAAAAATTTTAGATTGACATTTTTTCAAAATAATTTATTGCGCTGGGAAATCTCATTCATACTAAAACAATTTCATACGTACTAAAACAAGGCCCGGCCGGGACTCAAACCCACGACCATAGGTTACAAATGCAACCGAGTTACCTCTAGCCCAGATGAGAAGCAGCCTCGAAACTGCCAAGGTTCACTAGTAAAGCAATTCGAAAATTTCTGACAGATTTGTAAAAAAAAAGTTGGTTACCTCGAAACAAATTACATTTCAGCTCTTTGCATTTTAACAAAAATTTTAGATTGACATTTTTTCAAAATAATTTATTGCGCTGGGAAATCTCATTCATACTAAAACAATTTCATACGTACTAAAACAAGGCCCGGCCGGGACTCAAACCCACGACCATAGGTTACAAATGCAACCGAGTTACCTCTAGCCCAGATGAGAAGCAGCCTCGAAACTGCCAAGGTTCACTAGTAAAGCAATTCGAAAATTTCTGACAGATTTGTAAAAAAAAGTTGGTTACCTCGAAACAAATTACATTTCAGCTCTTTGCATTTCAACAAAAATTTTAGATTGACATTTTTTCAAAATAATTTATTGCGCTGGGAAATCTCATTCATACTAAAACAATTTCATACGTACTAAAACAAGGCCCGGCCGGGACTCTAACCCACGACCATAGGTTACAAATGCAACCGAGTTACCTCTAGCCCAGATGAGAAGCAGCCTCGAAACTACCAAGGTTCACTAGTAAAGCAATTCGAAAATTTCTAACAGATTTGTAAAAAAAAAGTTGGTTACGGAAAAAAGTCGTTGTCGATTAAAAGAACCTTGCTCTCGCAAGTGTAATTAACATTTAGTCAACGGTTTTTATCAAACAATGACTTAATTTGTGTTTACTAGCCTGCCAAACCTATTAGCTGATAATTTTAAAAACAACAAACCGTGACATCCAAATCCTTCTTGATGCCTAAACAGGACTCCTTGAACGTCAGATTCATCACATACTCCTTCGGGTAGCTCGCAGACTGAAACTGATCCTCATCGAACATATTTTTACCCATACCGCCTCCGAAAATATTTCTGAACAACTCTTCTGGGTTTATGTTAGACTGGTACTGCCACTGTTGTCCGGCACCACCGCCACCAGTACCGAAAGGAGCGCCTCCGAATCCTGCACGTCTCGAAGCATCATACTCGGCCCGTTTGTTGTCGTCCTCCAAGACTTCGTATGCTTCTGAGATCTCGGCAAATTTCTTAGCAGCATTTGGATTACTCTTCGCAACATCGGGGTGGTTTTTCTTCGCGAGTTCGTAATACGCCTTCTTGATTTCTTTTACAGAAGCGTTTTCTGATACTCCCAGTATTTCGTAATAGTTTTTACCATTATAAAGGTTACCCGAATTATGAAACGACCTTATTGATCTAATGGATGTTGGCAAGTAACCCAACTTAGAGGTATCACTTTTGGGTCTCTGTAAGCGAGCTTGATAATTATTTTCTGAGGAAAAAAATGAGATTGAGCGATAATTCGTTTGTTGCCTGGAGCATCTGGAACAAAGAGCAAGACCTCCACGCAGATTTATAACCTGCCTGGGATAGACGGAACAGATGGTTGTCATGATTATTTAATCAGCATAGCAAATCATCTAGTCTTGAAAGCGTAAAACAAATACAGGGATGATCATCATCCTCCTGAAATTAAACTGAGCACGTAATTTCATGTCTAGAATCAAACACTGTCCCAAAGAACTGAAGACTTTGAAAAATCTACCACCATAATTATCGTTGAAAACATTGTTTCAAACTCAATTAATCGATGGCAGTACAACCAAAATCTGGTCCACCACTCACTAAATAGACAGATAGAGCAGCTCATCAATTTTTGAAAGTGTGAAAATGAAGCGATACCAGAATTTTTTTGACTTTGTTATCGAGGTTAATACGTCGAACATACAATCAAATTGAGAAGATGCGAAAATGAAAAAAACAACAACAGGGTTGAACGCATTGAAACTGATATTTGCGGGGATATTACAAAAAAGGTGGAGAAAAACATCCTGTTGAAGCTATTTCAAAAGACAGTACTTGATTTAGGCCTGCTCCATAATAAGAATTTTCTGCGCTTCGCAATCCATGATTTTTTTCGCTTTCACACTTCATAAGATCGGTCAAGTTTTAACAAGCGTTGAATTTAGCATCATCCAAGGTGCTTTTACCTTTTTAGATCAATTTTAGTTCCCGCGGGTTCACAAAAAATATAGCCAAAAGATAGTCAAAAGAGTCAATAAGCGCAAGTAGACAGAAAAAAAGCCTTATTTTTTTAATTTAAAAGAAAAAAATAGATGGCCTGAAAGCTCTTTAAATTTCGAAAACAATTTATTATTGACACGTTTTTGCTAAAACTAACTCCATTTAAAAACAACTGGATCGATAAGTAATTTTTTTATTTCACCGGTATAAAAAAGCCGAAATCGTTGAGCCGAACAAAAAGAAAAGGCAAAAACAAAAAACTGAAATTATACTCAAAACGGAGTTAATAAATTACCAGCTGAGAAAAACGGCGTTTTTCTTGTCACACTCACCTGCCAAATTTTCTGTTCACATTGTGTAACTGCTACAACAATTGTAATGTGGTTTAATAAGACCATCACAAACATATTTGGTCTTCATGCTTAACCTTGTAAAGCCCATCGTTTTACCGCAAAATTTATGCTTATGCGAGGTGGGAAGGAAAAGGAAAAAGAGTCAAGAAAAACTTTAAAACGCAAGCGAGCTCAAAAATTGTCGATTATTTGACGAAGGTACAAATTTGGAGATGACCCCAGCTTATCAAGGGTAATTATTGTACCCAGAAAAAGACGTTTTTAGAGAGTTTTTAGGATAAAAACTTAACGCTTAGATGCTGTGATTGCAATCAAGGGATCGAAAAACTGCACATTGAGGCGAAGTAGAGTTTCTCACTATTTTCAAAACCATACAAACATAGCATTGCAAGCTAGCAGACAGAAATTGAAAAGTAAGCCCAAAAAATTGGCAAATAAGCTGACAACTGCACTAAACTAGCTTATCGCAAGAGAAAAAACATCCGTTGAACCACTCAAAGCCAAATAAAGCTTTTATGCAAAAAATATAAAATAACAAAACAAAATCCCACTAAGCGGACAAAACATAAGCAGACAAACTATTGGCCGACATTTCTTTGAAACTGAATACTTTGTTTAAAAAGAGCAGATCCAGGCCAGAATCGAACCTAGGACCTTCGTCAGCCCATGCGTAGCGTTACCTCCTAGAAAACTTAACTCCGAAGACTAGCTAAGAAATTTGAATTTACGATGAACCAATGAACCTATGAAAAGATTTAGCTGATTTTGTTAAACAAATTGTTAAATTAAGACTATATAACGAAGAAAAAATATGCGTAATAATTCAACCCACGTCGACCTGCTATAATCTTGAAAAGGATTTCCGGAAAGAGTTAAATTATAGCATACAGATTCATAAATAAGCCCCAAATAGTTTTCTTCTGAAACACTGGTGAGTTTGCACCAAATCCAAAATATTTTTTGCTACACAAATATGCACAATTTTGAAGTAACTGAGAGTTGTGGTTTATGTTACAAATGAATCGATACTTGCTGATATAAAAACTAAATCTAGATAAGATGCTAATACTATTATTTTCCAATTTCTTCACACATGAGAGCACGTTATTGTACCCAATCAACGACCATCGTATCGTGAGGAATCTCATTTCAATTTTCATTTTTACGAGTGATATTTGTCTACGATCTGCAATCTTCGAAATCTTTTTCCCACTCGTCACTTGTTGAGGAATCTGAAAAAGATTGAGTAAAGAACATTTTTTGAGCTTTTAGCTAAGTTTCTACTTTTTTTACAGTTGATTTATTCTAATGTATTCTAGTCATTTAAACATTTTGCATTACCGGGTGGTGTTTCCATCTTGTCCGAGTCCTCTTCATTGTCGATATGTACTGTAAGTTCTACATTTCCATCTTCATCCCCGTCTGTCCCCGTGGTTGTGTCCTCCCCCACTGATAATACCACTGAAGTGTCAGGGTCTGCATTTGCCTTTCTGATGTTTGCCTCAATATCATCTGTTTCACTCAAAGTCTCGTTGTGTTGACCTTTTGAAGCGCTCTCAGAAATTTCTATTACAGATTAAAAAATCACTTTTTCTACCTCTTTGTTCATTGTTCAAACTTCTTGAAAATGAAGGTAATGTTGAAAATCTTTGTGAAACTGGCATATAATAGCTAACACCCGAAAGGCATGTGAAAGAACTATGAGCTCTGTAACTAAGCCCTCAATTTGAAAACTTGAAACAGCTCGTATGTTGTCTAGTACTGCATCATATTTAAGGCCTTTTGGTCTTCGTTCCGATTGAAAAGTTTTTCTATCAGAGTCGAAAAGCTGTTCTGAACTTTATTTGCAACTCTGACGAATTTAATCGCTATAAAATTTCAACTTACTTCAGCTAGAGAAGCTCAATTATAAATTAGATAGATAAAATAGATAACAAATCTATCTGAGATAAGCAGAGCTTTTCACCGAAATGATTTTCATACATTGTTTTCAACGGTCCAAGTGCCGATAAACATTGCTATGGAAGATCATAGTTAATACACTTTGTGTTCTAACAACTCTCAATAAGACGGAAGCAACTAGGGGCCAAGGGTACTCAGGTATAGATCATCTTTTTATGGTTTGCTAGTATATGTAGTGTATCATCACAACCATGCTTCCAAGTCCAAAAAGATTCAATGTGTCATTGAAATTGAGACTGAATATTTCTACAAATGAGAATACCTTACTGCTAGGCAAATGTGGAAAAGAGCATGTGCCTGAATTTTCTACCGTTTTACATTATTTATGCCAACCTGAACTTCAATTCTGCATATTCATCCCATTATGTATGAACTTTTGAACCTAAACTGGCTAACTGAGCCGAAATATGTCAGAATTTTAGCGAATAAATAGGGTTCAGATTACCTCATTCATCGTCCCCATACAACAACAAAATCCAGCCATGAACCCTTTTGATGTCCGCAGGGGCGGATCTAGGAATCTTTCAAGGGGTGGGAGGATTTTCATAAAATTTTAGACTAGTTTCAGACCTATATTTTGGTGGAAAAAATTGATTTCTCGAGCTCTCTCAAATTATCATACTGATCCATTTTTCAAAAACTTCTGCTCCGCAAACAAAGTTTTGAAAAAAAGTCCACAAATACTACTTAGGGCACTTATTGAAAGTTCTTTTTTCGTTTTTTTAGCGTGCACAGCACCCCCCCCCCCCCCTTCCCAGCTCAAAGTTAGTATATATGGCGCCAAAGGCGTCTTTAGAAAAGATTTAGGGCCGGTCGGCAGAAAATGTTTGTCTTAAAATAGTACCTAAGGGGTCTTTTTGGGAGGCGTCAGCCCTTCCCGCTAAATCCGCCCAGGACTGCCGCAAACCTGTCGTTTCAAGTGACTATACCTGAATTCTGCGTCTTATTCCCCTCCCCGTCGTCTTCGCCCTGACCCTCCTCGTAATCTTCTTCGTCGTCATCCCCCCAATCTTCCAAGTCTCCGTGGAGAGAAGTTTGCACTTTGGAGAGTAGCTCCGTCTTCCTTTCTGCCTCAGACTCCAATGCCTGTCTCTTGAACCACAGCCTGGACCAGAAGTCCATGTGACTCACCTACACAAGAATTTTGGACCCAGTTTTAATCGAGAGTGGGAGAAAATTTCCCTAGCCAAATCAAACCAACAGATAAACGCAAATTATCCATTATTCATGTTAAGTAGGCCAACTGTGGTCTGCAAACTGTTTGCGATGTTAGTTGGTTAATTCTGAGCCTGAGCATACAACTTGAGACCAGAGCATTGTTTTTGTTCCGACCATTTTAATGGGGAGGAACTTTGTATTCGGGTGTCTTTTAGTGTTTTTTTTCAGGTACTACAAAATAATCAACGAAACCGGTCGAGTGATGGAATATATAATATTAAAACCCTTTCAGTCTTCATTCGAACGACAAATGAAACTTCCAAAAAATTCTGTCGCAAAAATTGTTTTTTTTTTGTCTAATTTCGAGCAAATAAAGCGAGCGAGCGGGCTGGTAATCTGCTTATTACAGTCTGTATTTATTTCCAGGGCTGTCATATTGTTAACTAAAACGTTTTTAACATGTTAACATGTTAATTATATGAAAAAAACACGTTAAAAACAAAATTGAGTTTTAAAATCACTCATTGAGTTGTTTAAAGAGAAAAGCCAGCTTTCCAGCCTTCTCGACGCCCAAAGAACTTCGGAGTTTTCCATAAGTGAGTCCGAGAGTTGAGAAACACCGCTCCAATCCTGCACTGGAGGAGATAGCATTGGCCAGTGTCGATGCATAGTCGACCAATTCTTTCGAGAATCTCAGTCGAAGTCCACTTCTCCACCAAGCTTCACTCTCGACCTTTTTGTAACCCTCAGCAAAAAGGTATTCGTTATAGGGAGGAACTTTTGCCATGTAATTTGTGAGCTCCGGCATGATATTTTCACCAGCCGTTTCACGGATGTAGTCGATGGCTTGTCTTGTTTCATCCGGATTCTGGTCCTCTCCGGCATACTTGTGATCGAGCAAATTAGCCGCTAGGACGACGGGTAGAATGGCCTGCTGAACTCGCTTAGCGACGGCACTTGCATACTGAATTGGTGCTTGTCCGGCAACATTTTTCCAGAGCTTGAATGTTTCCGACAAAGCGAACCCATTTGAGGACAGTGATGATCTTTGTCATAATTGGCTTGATATCTTTCTGACAGAGAATGTCTTTGGAAAGTAAGTTGTCGATGTGCGAGTGACACCCATAAGTGTGAACAAGTGCTAATTCTCTGCGCATTGCATTCATGTTCGCTGCATTATCCGTGACAACGCTAGTCACATTGACCTCGAACTCCTTCCTGTCTTGCATTTGGCCCGTTTAACGCCGCCAACGATAATCTCTTTGAAGCTGTACCACACGTCTTTCTTCTGCCGCGGCATGACACAATCTGAAATAAATATTTGTTAGTGTATGACGCATGCTGTTAGTACATCATGTGTTAAAAACAATGGTACCAATAGGTGTTATTAACATGTTAAATATAGGTCTGTTAATAACACCTTGTTAATAACATGACAGCCCTGTTTATTTCAAAGTAACAATCGCTTAGTTTTACTCACTCAATTATTCTCGAAATTTCTTTTAGCGATTTTTTGGAAATGACATTTTAAAAACGAACCTGCCAAATATTTTTTTTTTGTTTGTTTTTCTTTTTCTCTTATGTACAAAACTGATGTCAAAAGTACCTTACTTAGCTTTACTATCAATGTTCTGGGCTTTCGTTTAGACCCTTTCATCACACCAAAAACAAAAAACGACGACGCAATTTGAAAATTTTTATGTAGTTTTTTCAAGAATATGGTAGGAACCTTCTGTGCTACTTGCACAGCAAGCGGCTATCTTTGCTTCTGGTGAATTTTGTTGAAGTTGTACAGAAAAATATTCGCTCTTCCTAGGTTGAAGAATCTGAAATATAATAATACTTGACATCAAGAGAGAACAGCTCAAGACTATCCTTTCACCTCATACGATCAGTGTGCTCTAGCATCTATTATTTTGAAGCCTTCAATTATGCAACAATCAATCACTTCCATCCGCATATACAACTCTGTCCTGCTGCAATACCTAACCTGGGAAGGTACGAGTCGCGAGTAGAGTATTCGAACATCTGAGTGTGATATGAGGAGAGAGGAGATCTCGTTCTTCATCGAGTCCACCTTGAACGTCGCACAGAAGACCTCGAACGCCTCAGTCTCTAAACTCACCATCAATACCATCATCAGTTATAAAAGTAGATGGAGCTTCGTTATAAATAATTCTATTACTAAAGCTATAAGCCAGCTCAAAGTTCACACCAAGGCTGTCATCGATACAGCCGATAATAGAATAGCAACGATGGCTTCCTTATTTTTGAGAACAAAATTACTGAACTATTTCGATTAAGCAATGCAGAAGTAAATGGGATTCTCATTTCACTGGGTGCTTCATGATTCCAAACATCTCATTACTTAGAAAAATCAACGGTATTGAAGAGCTCAAAATTCGTAGCTATTATAAGTTGCAAAGTTAACTAACCTGTTGGGTTGGTAGTGTATGTTTTGGGGTCCTTGAAGAGTGAATCTAGTTTTGCCTATAACAATAAACTAAAAAGAGTCACACCAATTTAAAGTGAATCCACTTAGGTTACCGAAACTGTTTAAGGGAACTCTTTGGAGATTAAAAGCTTCCGACAATGAAACATCCAACAGTTAATAAGCAGAATTAGACATGATCAGAACTGACCTTTTCTTGCTCCTGAAGTTAGAAAAAATATTGCGAGTCGAAATCGTATTTCCAGATCACAACATAAGGAAATTTTTTTTTTAAAGTTCTGGGCTTGCTCTTCGAGGCTTGCTTAAGTAATGCATCAATCGAACCTAGTATTTCAAAATAGCGGAGCACTTAAGTCTAGCTTAAAAACCCAAGTACTAATTTATTCAAGGCCTTTGAGTTAAATTGTTTAAAGACAATCTCAAAACCGTCTCTAGTTTTTATGAACGCCTGCCTTGTAAAACAGAGACGACAACTTCTAGTTTTACCTCTAAAGTGTTCTCGGTCGTTCTGCGCTGCCCCGTTCCACTACCACTTGAAACTCTCTCCTCATCTTCGTAAAACTGCGCAGTCGTAGTATACAGAGTGGACTTGACAGTTCCCAAGAAACTAGATACATCCCCTTTGAATTTGCCCATCGACTCATCACTAACATTGAGCGTCGTCTGCAGCGTCCTGGTCGTCGTGTTTGCCAGATCAGATGTATCTTTTTTCACCACATTTGCAAACTCGTTCAAGTCCCGTTTCAGGAAATCTGCAGCAACTGCGCTCTTAAATCAGGAATCAGAAATTTATCCAACCGTAAGAATAGAATGAGAGCACACATTTTAGAAACTCACTTGCCGAATAAAAAAATAAAATGGCACTTTCTTTTAGGATTTTTGCATTAAAAAAATTGATTGCTGATCATTTAAGAGAAGGCTTCATTCATTGTTTTCCAGTGACTACGAGAAAAATCCTTCGATGAGATTCCTGTTTAACTTAATCAATTTCAGTAGCCTGTTGTTATATCACTTGCTGCCAACAGTCTTTACCCCAGCAAAATTAATTAACACCGAGGCGCAGCTGAGCTTCGCTCCGCTTGCGGCACAAAATAAAAACCCATAAACCAAAAGATAACAAGTCTCTAACGAAAAGTGAAAAAAAGAAGAATTATGTTGAAGGACCGTAGGCTGAAAAAATACAGAAAAATTTTATTACAATTATTATAAAAATCTATTTCTGGAATTATAAGAAAGATTCGGGCTCCACAAACTCTATTTATTTCTTCGTCATGGCGAAATGCTCAGATAAAAAATTTGACAAAAAAATCGAGATCCAAAAGTTCCTAAATGTACACCAGAACTTAACGTTGCAACCAAACAACCTGCACATCCTACATGAACGATTGATTGACAACAAACATCAACAGACACATTTAGTTTGTTCTTAGATCAAAATAAAAGATTTTAAAAATGAAAAAAGCAAACAAAAAAACGAAAGCTTAAGTTTCAAGCAACTTCCAAAAAAGAATTTGCTGAATATCTGAAAATTTTCACATTTTTTGCCATTCTTTTTTTTGAATCAGAATGATAAAATGACAAGGCTGATTTGAAACAAAAACGTCTAAAAACAAAAGAATGTAAGCTTAGCATCGAAAGAACAATAAATAAGTGTTAAAAACGATGCAAGCACTTCCGCAGAAACTCTTCAAACACAAAAATTCAACAAAATTCAAGTAAAACTTGAAACTCACAACAAAATTTTATTTGCTCGTCAAATAAACAATATGAGGCCACTAAGCCGATATAATATAGGCCGAAACCTATTAAGCAAAAGCAATAGAAAACTAAAAAAGCCAAAAAAATCAAATCTAAAAAGTAGAGTCCAATATGAGTCCAACGACATATGAGACGACTAAGCCGATATAAAATATATTGGAACTTACTAAGCCGAAAAAAAATAAATGAAAACAAAAACGAAAAATAAGACTGAAAATTATTAAATCCACTCACGAAAAAAAAACAAAAAAATCGATCTTCGAACGCCGCAATATGAGACGACTAAGCCGATTTAATATATAATGGACCTTAAAATGCCGAAAGAAGTAAACGAAAAAAAACGGAAAAAATTAAGACCAAAAGTTATTAAGTCTCCCTTGCCCTCGAAACACAAAAAAATTGGATCGTCGAACGACGCAAAATAAGACCACTAAGCAGATGTAACATGGGCCGAAACCTATCAAGCCAATAAAAAGATTTTTAAAATTTGCCAATAAAAAATGGAGTTGCTAAAATTACAATCAACAAAAAAACTCGAATTGGACAGATATTTAAGAAACTAGGAACTAAAAACAAATTAATAGTATGTTAAAATTACAATGGGAGAACTTGACAGGCGGTAAAAAAAAATGAGCAGAAACCCTTAAAGCCGAAAAAAAAATAAAACAATTCGAAAAAAAACATCATAATTATAAAAAAATTGTTGAGCTCACCCCCTCAAAACGCACACGACTGCTCACAAAAAAAAATTTCACTCATCAAACGATGCAATGTTGGGCCACTAAGCTAATGTAAAATATTCCGAAACCAATCAAACCGAGAAAAAAATAAATTTTGAATAGGCCATATATTTCAAATGCTAACATGCTCACAAAATCTCTGATGCAACAGAAAAGCCTAGTGGATGAAAGAGCCCAGGATCCAGGAAATGAGTCCTGTGCCTAAAGTTATTTATGGGAAAAAAGTCAGTACCCGATTGAAATACTTTTGCTATCACAAGGGTAATATAAAGTAGAAACTAGTTTCAAAAAAAATATTCTGCCATGCGACTGATTCGAACTTGCGACCTATAGATGAAGAATCTTACGCCCTGACCTCAGCCACAAAGGCTTAACAACCCGCATAAATTAGCCACAAATAAAGCAGACAAGAGATGCTACGAATTTTCTAATGCATTAAATTGTGATTACAGCAAAAGTGTCACTAAATGAGCACTTTTATTTGCGAGTTATGTTGGAAAACAGAAGGATCATAACACAGAGGCGAAGCTGAGCTTCGCACCATTTGCGATACAGAAAGCCAATGAATCGTAAGAAAATGCCAAAACGCCAAAAAAAACAACACCGGAAACTTTCAAATGTTTGTCTCTAAATGAAATTCAATTTGATGACAAGCTGAGGCGGAACATGACAGCGAGTATTGAAATAGCTTGAAAAAAAAATCGAATCGCACTACAAAGTGAGCTACAAGATACAGAATGGAAAAAAGACAGAAGTCAAAATAAACTTTATGAAAAATTACTTAAGTATGGAAAAACTACAGCTATAACTACTGCATTTTTTATCAGATGAAAAGTATTTGTATGTTTTTTTTTCATTACACCAAGCGCAAGAAACGACATTAATTTCACGAAAAAAAAACAAATTGTAGTTTTCATGATTGTGGTCGGATTATTCTGTGCTGCTTGCACAGCAACCAGCTATCTTGTTCACTTTTGTTATAAGAAAGCGAAACTTTCCTGCCTTTTAGCGAATTAATTTGACGCGAGCTTAAAAAGAAATCAAACGTCAAACCTCCGAAATATAAATTTGAACGTGAACAACTCAGCCCTTTCTTGAAAACAAGAAAAACTACACGCCCATAACTTACACTTCTAACGCGAAGAAACTACGTTGAAAAACATTATTCAATTAGTTATCATCATTCCATAAAGAGGATGCAGTTCACTCAAATTTACTCATCACCTGTTGCTTGGCTTGTTCGAGAGCTCCAGTAACCCATCCTGCACCCCAACCAGATAAACCCGTCAGATAGTCCCCATATCCCCCTCCATCTTCATCCTTGTCATCAGAATCATCATTTTCCTCTTCCTTAGTATTTCCTCTCTCTATTTTCATCTGCTCCTTCGGTAGATTCACTTCCGGCTGTGCCGACACAACTTCGCTTCGACCGTCGGATGACACGGGGACAGTTGTCGGGTCGTCATCATCTTCGTCTAACTGAAGGGCGTTTGTTAGCAACGATGCCGCCCACGATCCCCATCCTGAGCCGCCGCTAGAAGTTACTTTCGATGATGTGGGCAGGCACGGCAAAACTGGGAATGGTTCGCTTTTTGGCTTGTCCTGATTTGGAATTTTCGTGTTCAATAAATTTTTTGCTTCAGCTGCTGTGTCAATTTCTTCAATAGATTGGGCATCGTTCACAGAAAACTGTTTTTCTTTATGTTCAAGTTGTGCTACTGTTTCCTTGTCCTTTTCAGTAGGTTCAGACTGAGAAAAATTTTGCTCAAAAATATTGTTCTTTTCTGTCTGATCCTTTAAACCCGCCATTTTGTTTTCGATTTGATTGCCACTAAGCTACATCAAACAGGAACTGAAAAACAAAGGTCCTTTATATTTCAAGTTACGCTCAACCATGCATTTAAAGTCTCAGACTTAAGTACGATGAAACCATAAAAGTCAATTGCAAAATTTCTCACTAAATAATTTTAATTATTGAGAGCACCAAATTAATTTCTGCTATTCAATCAAGATTCGTCTTTTACTTCGATGTACAGATCATTTTTACACACTTCTTCGCTGTAGAACTTAGTCCATGAACTGGACGAAAACTGAAGCTTTAGAGTTACGGAGTCCCCGCCCACATTGAAAACTCCTGGAACTGTGGCAACAAACTGTAAGTAACACTCAGCTTCGGTTCGGCTTGTTATACCCCCTAGGTTTTCCTCGGGATTCAAACAATAGAGAGACTTTGGCCCATTCCATTTAAAAGTCAAATTTTTGAAATCGCTTAAATTGTTTATAATGTGATATCTTACAGTGAAGGGTCGGTTTACTGTCAACGGCTCATCTGTCAACAATTTAGGTTGTGATGAAAGCTTCACAGAAAAAGCTTCAAATAATGGCATATTATAAACCGACGTATGTGAAATGTCTAGAAACGGGACATTCCAGGAAATAGTGAATTGCAAAGCAGTGAGCGAAGATCCATGTGTTAATTTCTCTCGACACAAAACACCTTGCTCTAAATCGTTAACGTCAAGCGACCAACAAAGCGACTTTTCAGTGCCTATTTCATTCTCAAAAACAGAACCCATTTGCAAGGATTTGGATTTACCATCATGCGTAAATAACATCGAACTTATTTTAATCGCGTAATCAAACGAATTATGCAACAAGAAAGACAACAAGCCCGAAACATGAGAACAGTCAACGAACAATGAAGGATTCGGCAGAACAGTCATAGCAATGACTGAATCGAACTCGGTTATACAACTTCCTGAGCTAGCTAACATAGTGCAAATTTTTAAACGAACGTTACCGAAGCAGTTTCGTGGTAATTTAAGATGAAAAGAAAAGTCGTATATATTTTCTTCATCTTGGTAACTAACAGCTGCCCAGTCACCGTTAACAATTAGCGTGGAATAAATATCCATGATATCCTTATTGTCTTCGATTCTGCATTGACAACTCTGATATGAATCACGCATAATATTTTTCGATGGCGCATGTGATTGCAGAAGGATTGTAACATTCGTCTACTGCAGTCACACATGAGGCTTAAGAAAAATAGGCCCTATAACCACTGGCTCAAGGGTCAGGGACACTATCTCTTGTGTTTTCCCACCTCAAGAACGGTCGGAGCCAGTTCGGTTCGCTTGTGACATGAGACTACGACCCGTTACAGCTTAAAGGCTACTACTAAAATATCCCCCCACTCTAGAATTAGAAACGTCCCCATACTTAGGTCTCTAGATACCCAAAATACATGAACGCCGTTAAAAACCGGGTTGGAACAATCCGTTAGGTTACTTTTTATTAGACAGTGTGACTTTGATCCATTTCAGATGGATCAACCTAAAACTCGCCTTACCTCAACATAACAATCATAAAACACACTCTAGAATTTAAATTCGTACTCACATATCAGCGCTCTCAAGAGTTGGGAAAATAATCCAGTCAGTAACTAACTCAAGAAATAAATAACTAAGAGAAGTTTAATGTTTTATAGTTTGGACAGCAAGGATAAGTTCATGCTCTAGAATTTGAGTTCTCTTGGACCGTTGGGACACTCCAGTTGTCCGCCTTTCCGCTGAAGGTTCACTCTGGTCCAACTTTAGTAATCGCTCTCTCGGGGATACTCTGTCTTCTATTTCAAGTAGGACAGCTCTACTCTCGTTCACTATGATGGAAATTGCGAATAGCAATTTCCCACTCGTTTTTAATTGACAACTTCCCCGCAATTGTTCTAAAATTGCTCTGATTTCTTTTTCTGATTTTCAGTTATCGCGAGAAAATCGTGCATGACATGTTCCTTTCGAAATTTTGAAAAATTAAATTTCACTTCAAAATCAAGTATTTTCTGCTCTTCTCAAGGTCAAACTTCCAAATATGACCGACTGGCACATACTCCCCGGACTCGAGATCGATGTCCTCATCGCGCGCTGTCTTCTGCCAGTGAGTCCCAGAAAAACCGAGTGTTGCTCAAGATACAGTGCCAGTGGTCATTTACAGAAGTTTGCAGCAGATTCAAGATTATCTACACCCCAAAATTCACGACCATTTAAAATTTTCACACTATTGCTAAACAGCAATCAAAATCTGCATTTACCTGCACCTTTGAATTTTCGCTTTTCAAGCCAATCATTTAAAAATCTCTTTTGTCCTATTCAATCAGGAAATTGTCATGCAGCATTTTGATCTATATAATAGATATAGTATATTAGTAACAATATTTACTTTGTTAAAATTTCTTTTTCGTGAATCCAAGTTTCACTCGGATTCACACTCAAGCCCCCCTTCCCTCTCAAGACTCAAGATCCATCCGATTTGCCCATTCATCTCGTGCTCTTCGCCTTGGAGGTACTGCCTCCTGAAGTGCTAGATGCGGCAAACTGTCTCAACAGTTCCTCTTCATCATCGGAACTAATCACAATCTCCTCCCAAGCCTTCAGCTGTTCATAGGATCGCATCCATTCTCTCTGCTCCTGCAATCTCTTTGCTTGGTTGGGTAGTGCCTTCACCCTAGCTTCTCGGTTCAAGCAAAAGGAGTTGTGCAGGCTCAAGCTCACGTTCTTCGCCAGGTCTTCCTCTAGTATCGACTCCCTCGCTTTGGTGTTGTCTCTAGACATCTTACCCACTCTCTTCCATCCCGTCGTGATCGCATTACGATGGGTTAGCAGGGGTCTCTTGAAAGCTTCCGGCCCAATCTCGGCCTGGAACTGTCGATACTCCTTTTGATGTTTTCTCATGTGATCTTTCGTTGCCCTGTACAACCAAGACGTCAGTGTCGCCCGAAACCATGGAAAGTACCTCAAGCGACTCCATACGTGCCTGACTTCCGTTGGTATGGCGAATACTTTGCACGCAGTCTCAAACAACTCAAGTCTCCTGCTGTAGTCTATCGCGTATATTGACTCAGCCGTTGGCGTCGTCGCCTCCCGATATTTCGTTATATTCTCTTCTATCCATCTCAGAGCTAACATCGTACTCACTACTAAGAGCGTCACCTTCTGCCGGTGATCCGGTAGTCCGATCGACCGAATCTCTTCCACATCCCACACCAGGCAAAGGTTCTTGTGATCTGGATACCACACCGTTTGTGCCAAACAGTGGCATGGGCATTCCCCATGAGAGATCTCAATGCTCCTGAGATTACGCTCCCCTGAGGCTTCCAAGAGAGGCTCAAGCTCCATCATTTTCTCGTGCATCGTGTCGTTGTCTTCCAGGTTCGGAGTACTTCCCACAGGTTTCCCGATCACGTTTTGTCTCTCGTGATCGCTTGTGTTTTCTCTTTCCAACTTCAGAAGATCTTCTCCCCAGATTTCGCTTAAGTCATCTCTCAATTCTTTTGGTACTGTCCCTTTGATTTTTCTCAACAACTTGTGCGAGTGATGCGACATCCGAGCCAACCTCACGCACTTGGGCACTGAGAAGGCCTTGTCCACCAGTATTCTCTGGCTGGACACTTCCACCATCGCCATGTGTAGCGGGTAGTGACTTCCGCACAAGTTGGCCATCATTGACCCTATCAGCGATTTCGCGTTCAATGGCAAGCCATAAGCTTCGCTCAGGGGAAATCCCATTTCCGCCTCAAGACCAACTTTCCAGCTCCGGATGTGTTTTTGAGTCACCTGCAACACCCCGGGCCATGATTCCACGCTCAACGCCGTCACTAAATGATGCTCAGACTCCAGTCTCTCCAGTGCCTGCAGACCACACATTCTCGAGAAGAATCCGAGAGCTGTCGCTATATTCACCGTGGTTCTCGCGTAACATTCCGCTATTATTTGCACTTCACTTTTCTCCCTTTCTGTGATGTCTTCGAACCAAGTGACCAGGTCTTCTTTTTGAAACGACAGTATCCTGACGCATGACCGTCCATCGCAGATGTGCTCTCTTTTCCCACACGTCGAATCCAGACAGCTACCCGGATCCAATTTCTTTGCTGACCCGGGGTCGCTCGTCCTTTCGCTTGGCTCTTGCATCTGGGACGTGATTAGCTTATGCAGCACACTTAACTTCGCCAGATCTTCATCTTCCGTTGGTGCTAACCTCACTCGCTCGGTGGTTTCCTCGATTAGACTCGCATGGGGATGTGGACACCAGGAGGGTCTTAGTAGCTTCCATATCACTCCCAAGTTCGTGGTTAACAAGCCATTTCCACCGCCCATGTTTACTTCAACTCTCTTGTTTGAGCGCGGCATGCTTATCACCTCTGGTGTTTTCTCAAGAATCAGGCCCAGGCTCGGCCCCTCTTTCTCCACCGCGTCTATCTCCATTATTCTTTCTGTCCAAAACTTCAGCAGCTCCGCTACCTCATGGTTTCTGTGGGCTCCTCCAGCTTCCGAGTCTAAGAAGGGATTGTAGGCTATTCCCAGCACTCCAGACACGTATTGGTATTCCCCCTTCTCACTGAGTCTCGAGTACTGTTCTGACGAGGCCAGGTTACGGTGAACATCATGTTCTTCCTCGAACTTCTTATTAGAGAACCTCCGTACCTCGTCCAGCTTTCGGTGGCTCTCTAAGGATAGTCTGGAACCATCTTCTTTCTCTATTCCTGTACTTTGATATACATTCAAGATGATCGTTGAGACCCTTCTCTCCATGGTTTTACTTCCACTTGCTCTCTGGTGGCATGCCAGGATGGTGCTATCAGACATCATTGACATTGTCCATCTCAAGAAACATGTGGCATCTTTTCTCCTAGCCAGGCTCAAGCCTGAATTGTCCCTGGCCACGTGTTGCATCAGTGCCTGATACACCTCTAGCTTCTTGCTTCCCAGCTTCAGCCTGTCATACGAGGTCAATGTCTCCAACTCTATTCCCACCAGACTCCAGGTGAACATTAATTGTCCCGCAGTTCTAACG